CTTGGAAGTTATTCCCCAAAACAGTTGAAAAGGATTTAGAACTAAGGAATCAAATCTGAAGTTCTATTACCTGAGTGTTTACCTGAAGTAAAGTAAAAGGTAAGTCTTCAAAGACCAAATGCAGAGACAGAGAGAGAGAGAGAGGGAGAGAGACACGATTGACGGAATTCCTTCATCATTAGAGAAAATGGAAGGTTCCGACAGGGAATTTTCACATTATTTTCGAGTTTTTAACAGTGCTGTGTGCATTGCCGACATCCGGGAATAATCCGGTGTGAACGAACGGTAGACGAAGAAGAAGAGGAGGAGAGAGAGCGGAAAGCGAGTCCTGGGAGAAAGGGTGGAGGGCAACGGGAAATAAGAGAGTCTCTTTGTGCCAGGGAACGAAGGGATGAAAGCGGAGGATGAAAAAGCCGGGGACAGATGGCCGTTTCAGACAATGAGAAACTCGAGAGATAAGGGGAACGTAAGCGAGTGAGAGGAGAGGAGAGGAGAGGAGAAGAGAGGAGACGGGGACAAAAAAGAGAAAGAAAAAGTGAGATAAAAAGGCATACCTCGAAGGAGAGAAGAAAAAGGAAAAGAGACCGCTGGGAGGAAAATGGGGAGTCAGAAAAACGGAGATGGATTGATAAGGAGAGGGTAAACTACTTTTCAAGGGAGTAAGAGAGGAGAGAGAGAGAGAGAGAGACAGAGCCGTAATGAACGAGGGGGAATAGAGAAAGTAAAAAAAAGAAAAGAAAAAAAAAGAGGGAGCGAGAGAGAGAGAGAAAAAATGTGAAAAGAAAGACAAAGTGAGAGAAAGAGAGAGAGAGACCGAGGATAGGAAATGAGTGGATGGTGAGTCAGACTCAAAGTAGACTCTTGCAGACAATCTCTGCAGATTAATGGTCCGAGTCATGAACATATACTCGTTTTAGTTTTTACATAAGTGTTACTATATAGTTACTTGAATTTTTGCTTATATGGCGTTCTTTCGCTGTACAAATCAAAGTGTATTTACTCTTGGAGAGCTGCTAATGCTGGTAGTCGATCATGTGTGAATGTGTGTATGTTGAAGGTATACGAGAGGCATGTAAGAAAAACCTCGAAGATCACTTTCGACTATTGCACTTCTCCAATGAGATCTCGTTTATAGATCGAACTGGTGATTTGTACACTTGCGAGAAGACCAAAGGGAATGATGAAATAATCTGAATTCTCTCTCTCTCTCTCTTCGACTCTATACATTCTCCTCTGAATTGAACTAGATTATATAGGTCGATGATTATTGCGATAATAACAAATATGATGGTGATGATGATAGTGCTCGTTGTGGCGCGAAGGAAATTAATTTCTTTTAGTTTTAGGTGCAGTACCACAATTTTTCTAATGATATCAAAATTGAGACAAAAAAAAAGAATTTTTGGGTGCAGTATCACAGTTTTTCTGCAGATATCAAAATTGAGACAGAAAAACTCTGACATCATGAAACAATCAAACAGCAAGAAAGAATACTAAAATTCTAATGATACAAGTATTTTGTACTTTGAATTTTAAAATAAGAAAACTTAACAGAACCTGACAACACTAATACTCCGAGCACTGTGAACTTAAAAGTATCAAATTGCAACGAATTAATACAAATCAAATAAAAAATTGATCCAAATTTCTGGCATTAATTTGATCCACTTTCGTATCAATTTGATACTCTGAATAAAACTGTGAGTGAGATTTATTTTGAGTAACTTGAAGTTGGTCCTTTAGGCACTTTGATGCCGAATTCAAAAAGAGTTGGAACAAAAATGAATTCTGTTCTTCTCTACTAAATATGACTTAATATCAATTTTTGAGTAGCAACGCATTGATACGAAAAATGTGGATGAAATCATAAATTGATTCAAACTTCTTGTATCAATTTGATTTAAATTGGTATCACAGACTTCGCACTAGATAATTACTTTTAAAAAAGTAGCTTTAAAACTATAAAAGATTAGTAAAAAAGTGGCTATCAAAAAATTAAACCTGACGTCCAAAAAAACACGTTTTAGACACTTCATAAAAGTAACAAAAATTCCATTTTATATTTTATATTCCTGACTTTTTCCTAATTTCCATCAAAAATATTTACTTCGTTCTTATCCTACTGCTAATAAATTGAATTTTTGCAACGAATTTTATTATTCATGAAAGAATTTCAATATTTTTTATAAAAATAATTTAATTTTTGCGAAGAATTTTATAAAAATTTTTAAATAATTCATTTCTTTCGACAAATTTAATGAAAATTCTAATTTAAATAATTGAATTCTTTCGAAAAATTATTTATGTAAATAATTGAATTCTCAGCAAGAATTTAATTAAAATTGGATTTAAAATAATTTATTTCTTTCGAAAAATTTTATTAAAATACTTGAAAATAATTGAATTCCTATGGAAAATTCTAATATTTTTGTAAAGAATTGAATTCTTCTATAAAGAATTTTGAAAAAACATTTTTTAAAATAATTTATTTTTTTCGAGGAATTAAAATTAAATTTTTAAGAATAATTACATTTTTTCAGCAAATCCTGTAAAATTGTATTAAAAATAATTGAAATACAGCGATGAATTTTATTATTTATAAAAATAATTTAATAGTTGCTAAGAATTATATTAAAATTTTCAAAAATAATTGAATTACTGAGAATAATTTTATTATTTATGAAAATAATTGAATTATTGCGAAAAATTTCATTAAAATTTTCAAAAATAATTGAATTACTTAGAAGAGTTTTATTATTAATGAAAATAAATGAATTATTGCGAAAAATTTTATTTAAATGTTTAAAAAGAATTGAATTTTTGTGAAAAATGTTGTTACTTTTGAAAATAATTGAATTCTTTATAAGAATTTTTGTAAACATTGTTTTAAATAATTAATTTTTTCGAAATACAATAAATATTATGAAAATTTTATTTGAGAAAATTGAATTTTTAGATTAATTAATTTAAAATAGTATTATAAAGAATTGAAATTCGTCCATGAGTTTTATTATTTATGAAAATAATTAAATTCTTCCTTAGAATTTTATCAAAAACTTTTTTAATAAAATTGAAGTTCCATGAAAAATGTTATTACCTGTGCCATGAAAATACTGGATATTGAAAATAGAAATTTGAACATTTTTTGAAAATAATTGAATCATTTTAAAGAATTTGATTATAATTTTTGAGAATAGTTTTTTGATAATAGTTTTTTGATTTCTAGTATATTAGCGAATTTAAAGTAATGGAAATTCTAAAAAAAAACAGAAATAGTAGTTTTTAATGGCTGAAATCTAAAAAAAGTACCCAAATAGTAGCATAAAGTAAAAAAAAAGTATAGTAAATAGTAGGTTTTAGTAGATGAGTGCGAACTATCAATTTAATACTTTCAAGAAAACTATGAAGTAATGATTATAATTTATATTTAAATAAAACTTATAATGCAAAAAAAAAAAAAAATGATAAGGATACTTCGCTAGAAGAAAATTTTTGATCTTCGATTCAGTAATTTGACTTTGATAAATTCTTCTCCTTTACATAAATGGAAGAACACCACTGACAAGTAGGGGAAGGTTTCCAATGTAAAGCAAAAGGATTCAGAAAATTTTTTTTAACTACTCGCACGAAGACTCAAATTCTACATTTCCAAAGAAAGAAAATGGCTAGAGAAAAAAAAGTCCAACTCCAGACTTATATTAATTGCATGAGGGGCGCAGTTTTTTTCACCATTAAACTGTGTATATCTATAGTGTGATGTATAGTGAACATATAGTGAAAGAAGGGTGACTCGAAAAGGTTCAGAGAAAATTAATCTCTTGGGAGCGACATTCACACGTCGATTAAGACAAATATGAGCAATAAATATTTTAAATTCAATCTTTTAGCCTTTCTCGTGATGAGAAGCTGAACTCTTCTCTTTGTACCGTACGGTACAAATATTTACAAGAGGAGTGTTTTTCGCTCCTAAGACTAACATCGTTCAATACCGTTCAAATTATTAATCAATCATAACCGTTCAAATTATGTATTTAAACAAACAAATTACAAAAAAATTAATACTAGGGGCCAATTCCAGCAACATTAATTAAAAGTTTTTCAATGATTCTTTAATCATTTGACAATTAAGTCTTTAATCATTTGACTTTAATTCTTTAATGATTTAACTTTAATTCTTTAATCATTTCTTCTTCTTCTTATATGACTTTAGGTTGTGCCAACTGTCAGAACTGTACTTTAATCATTTCAGTTTAATTCTTTAATCATGAGCCAGTTTGGCGACTTATGATTGGTCGGTTAAGGATTTAATCATTAGTTAACTTTTAATCGGTAATTGGTGAAACTGGTACTAAGGGCCACCAATTAAAAGTTAATCAATGATTAAATCCTTAACCGACCAATCACGAGCGGTTAAACATTAAACTTAACTTTATTAAATCCTTAACCGACCAATAATGGGCGGTTGAACTGTGACATTAATCATTGATAAACTTTTAATCGGAGCTGGTGAAACTAGAACTAAATAAACATAAAAAACTTGATAATTGATGATTGGGATGCTAGGGCAGAGTTGAAATAATACGCCAAAATTTTAGAAAATAAAATTGTCTTAAGTAACAATATTTTCTTCTTTCTTTTGCAGATTGTAATCGAAAAAAGATGACCTACAATTTTTCGATGAAACATTGAACCGTAGTGACAAAAGAAATGATTGAAACCCAACTATCGTTGTTGGCACGATTTTATAGAGTTTTTTCGCTCCCGGGAAACCTCGATAGTTCCAAAGAATCTAGAGGAAAAGCAACTGCAAGAAGACACGCTACACTTTTAGCTACCAACTGTAAAAATCGATAGAAGTGTAGGCAGGCAGGACGAGCAAGAAGAAGGATCGACCATACCAAGCCATCTCTTTCTTACAACCTTTCAAGTAACCATGTCAAAATTTTCCATCTCTCTCTCTCTCTCTCTGTCTCTCTTTTTCTCTCTCTCTAAGAAACAGGATGTGGGGAATGGCAAAGCGAAGGAATGAAAGAGCGGAGAAGGGAGAAATGCGAGAGGGTTGCCTTAGGGAACAGGCGAGAGAGCAAATGCAAGAAAGAGGGGAAGTGCTAGATGGATTTTATATAGAAAGGAAAGAGAGGAGGAGAAGGGAAGAGAGGAGAAGCATAGAAGCAAGGTAGGAGAGGCAGATCGAAACAGAGAGAACTAAGAGGCCAAGGAGTGAGGGAATACAGAAGGAGAGAGAGAGAGAGAGAGAAAGGAGGGAGAATGGCTCTCTCTCTCGCAGGGGAAAAGGAGAAGGATGAGAGGGATGAGAGGAAAGGAGAGAGAGAAATCCAGTAAAAAGAAGAATCGAGGGAGAAAACGGCAAAAAAACAAATTCAAAGGTGAAAGAAGGGAAAGCCGATTGGAGGGAGAGAAAAATGGAGGCAAAAAAAACAACATTAGGTAGAATAAAAATAGAAGGAAATGAAAAAGAGATTGAACAAAGCAAAAAAGGAAAAAAGAAATTGGCATAGACGAGAGAGGTAAAGAAATTCAAGAGAGAAAAGAACGGAGGGAGAAAAAGACAGAAAGAAGGACAGAGGGAAAAAGAGAGAGAAAAATACAGAGAGAGAAAAGGACAAAGAGAAAAAGACAGAGAAAGAAAAGCAAAGAGAGAGAGAAAGAAAAGCAAAGAGAGAGAGAGAGAGAAGAAAAAAGAGAAAAGGACAGAGAAAAGGAAAGCAAGAATGACAATGAGAAAGAAGAAAAGATTTAGGAGAGAGGACGACGAAGGAAGAAAGATTGAAAACGGGGACACAAAGAGAAAATGACAAAGAAGACGAGAGGGGCGATTGGAAAGGCAGGCCAGGCAGACCGAGAGGCTTCTTTCAACGTTTCTCTCTGTTCTCTCCTGTATATACTTGCAAAACGCAAAGCAACGCGAGAGAAAGAGAGAGCCCCCTTCTGGTCCCCTCTGTACCTTCCTTTCTTAATCTCTCTTTTTACCTCTCCTAGGCCATATTTGGCTTCTATCTCTTTCTCCCTCGACGCAATTCTCACTCCCACCAAAACTTTTTCGTACCATCTCAATTACTACGTTCACGTTATGCGCCTCCGCGTTCACAGTGAGATCGCGTTATACGTGGGTGAACGGGAAAATGTCTTTTGAATCCTTTCTAGGTCGCTCTCAATCGCACCACCACCACCAACATCGTCAAGTTCAGGCGACTTGAACCGTATGCTATGTGCCTAAGAACCACACGAAACAAGGATATCAAAAAAATCAATAAAATTCAATTTTTGAAAAATCAATCTTTGGGAAAAAAAATTGATAGGGCAAATTAGAAAAAAAAAATTACATTTTAATAAAATACTAGTATAGACTAAAATATATTATCTTGCTCGGAAGCAGGATTCACAGTTAGTCTCCCTTTTTCCTCTATCCCCCTTTGCTATCCCCTTAAATTAATAAAGTCCCCCAAAATAGCCGAAAATTGTAAATTTTCTCCCCTTATTTTTTTTTTTCGAAAAAGTTATAGAATTTGTCGTTTTTTGTAAGTTAGAAAAATTTCTAAATGCTTGAAGAGAAGAATTTTTACTTTTTGCTACTTTTGGACAAAGTTTTTTGAAACTTAGATTTTTTTTGGATTATTTCTCAGAGTTTTTTAATCTTATAGAAACTTTTTTCATGCGAGGTAAAAAATAAATAGTAACTTTTACTATTTACGAACTAAAGCCCCCAAGATCTGTTTGGAATTTTTGTCAAAATTGTACTAGTTACAAAATTTTTACTGGTTTCCAAATAAATTTTTTGAATTAAAAGTATATTTTACTTATTATAAGAGCTCGAACCAGTGGAAGAATTTTAAAATACGGACTTTAAGGACCAAAAATGAAAATTACGGACCATATTGACAAAAATATAACCACAAGTCAATTAAATATATATTAGAAAATAAAAACTTTAAACATAAAAAAATACAATTAAACTTTTTCAAACAAAAATATAATTTAAAATTCAATTATTTCTACAAATTCACACTAAATTGCTTTTAATACTCAATTATTATCTATAATTTTAACTGAAATTCATTTTTATGAAATGAAAATCAATTTTTATTAGAAAATTCTACCAGAATTCAATTATTTAATTGTTAAATACAAATTGTTGAATACAAATAAAATGCAAATAAATAATTTATTAAATAATTAAATGTGTCTTAAAATTCGATTCCCATAAAGAATTTTATTAACAAATTTTTAAATAATTAAATTCTTTAGACAAATTTTAAAAAATCAAAATTTTGAGAATAATTATACATTTTCTGAGAAATTCGATTAAAATTATATTAAAAATAATTGAAATTCTGCTATGAGTTTTATTATTTGTGAAAATAATTTGAATCCCAAAGAAGAATTTTATCATTTTTGATCAATATTTAATTTTTTTTTGTGAAGAAATGATTACTTTTGAAAATAATTGAATTTTTCCAATAATTTGTAACTTTTCCAAAATTAAATTTTTTTTACGTGTTTTTAACGAAAATTCTTCTTTAAATGCATTATTTTTTATAATTTTTGAAAAATTTCTTTGAGAATTTTCAAATTTATTTGTTTACAATTCAATTTTACATTTTACAATTTGAAACCTTATCAAAATTCAATTATTTTTAAAAATTCACGCTCTAATGCTTTTAATATTCAATTATAATCTTAAATTTTAACTGAAATTAATTTGTAAATAAATTTTTATTAGAAATTGGTTTTTTTTGTATTAAAGAAATTGAATTCTAATTCAATTATTTAAATACAAAAAAACCAATTTATTGAATAATTGCATATTTCTTAAAATTGAACATTCATATTAATAATTTTTTAAATAATTGAATTCTTTTGACGAATTTTAATAAAATTTTTAAGAATAATTACATTTTTCGAGGAATTCGATTAAAATTATAATAAAAATAATTGAAATCCGACGAAGAATTTTATTATTTATAAAAATAATTGAATGATTGCAAAGAAATTTATAAACAATTTGTAAACAAATTGAATTCCTGTGAAATTTTTATTATTTTATGAAAATAATTAAAGGTTTGCGTAGAATTTTAGTAAATTTTTTTTAAATAATTGAATGCTTTTGGACAATTTTATGAAAATAGGAAATATTGAAAATCATTGTTTGAGGAAAACTTTTGAAAATAATTGAAATTTTTGACAAGAATTTTATTAAATTTTTTTTAAATAATTGAATTTCGGAGAAGAATTCAATTATTTACAAAGATAATTGAAATTTTTGCCAAGAATTTTATTAAAATTTTTGAAAATAATTGAATTTCGCAGAAGAATTTAATTATTTCTAAACATAATTGAAATTTTTGCCAAGAATTTTATTAAAATTTTTGAAAATAATTCAATTTCGCAGAAGAATTCAATTATTTCTAAACATAATTGAAATTTTTGCCATGGATTTTATTAAAATAAAATTTACAAACGGATTTTATAGAACTTCCTTTGGAAATAACGATCATAAATAGCAAAATTTACTATTTCAATTGTTAATTTTTGTGTATAAAAATTAATACAAATTTTCTCGAACAATTAGCTATATAAAAATGTTTATATTTCGAGTAAATTTGCCACTATTTCTGAAGCAAATTTTTCTTATTTTTATGAAAAAAATTGTCTTCGAAAATAGTCAAAGTTAATACAAAAATAACAATATTTTTAATAGTAAATTTTGCTATCTTTGAACGAAATTTTACCAACCCTGTAATTTATTATTAACAGAATTTTGCTAATTCAAAAGCAAAAATACAACATCTAATTTAAATTAGTAAAAACATTTTTATTAATTTGAATTTAAAGATTTTTAATAAATACTCGTATTGTCTCAAACATTTACTATTTTGATATCGAAGACTGCACTTTTCCGATGGATTTTTCACTATTAATTTATAATTACTTATGAAAAAACCTACGAACAGTAACCTATACGAACAGTAAGATACTATCCATTTTTCTACGTAATTTTAGTTTCCAATTGTAGAACACAAGGTAAAATTTCACGAGAAGAAAAGAAAAGAAAAACGTCTAATTTCCATATATAAAAAAACAATGGTTTGAAAAATATTTCACCGCACACTACGAGTGCACAATAAAGAAAAAGTTTTCTGAAAAAGGTTTTTTTTTCTCCCTCTCGATTTTTCCAAACAAGTCACACTACTATATTCTGTGTGTCTCTACACTTCTTGTTCTAATCAATCGATGCAGAATGATTTATCGACAGGTCGTGTCTCTCTTTCTCTCCCTCAAAACTCTTGTACTTTCCCGTGGTTTCACCGTATTCGTTGTGCATTTCTCTTCTGTTTACGCTTTACGACGTAAAGTTATTAGCTGACAGACTGTCGACAAAGTATTACGTTTACGACTCGTTTTAATTTGGCCAAGACTTTTAGTGGCGCATGAAAGAAATGTTAACATTCGCTAAAAGACCACAATTTACAATAAACAAAGACTTTCGACTAAATTAAAGCCCGACTTTTGTAAAATACACCCAAAAACAGAGAGTCCTTTCTTATCAATAGTCAAATTTTCATTTCTTGAATAAATAAATAATTTCTGCACTAAAATATATCCAAGACTTTTTGAAAATAAAAGTTTTTGAAAATAAAAATTATATTGAAAAAAAGAATTTTCTATAATAAGAATATATTAGAGAAAATGAAGAAAAGAATAAAAAGGGGGGGAGAGAAAATAATAGAAAGGGAGAGAAAAGAATAGAGAGAAGGAGAGAAAAGAATAGACAGAGGAAAAAGAATAAAGGGAGAAGAACAATAGCAAAGAGAAGAAGAATATTCGAAATCTTTTCAAAACCTTTTTCGAAAAAATGATGATTAAAATTTTCCTCAAGTCAAGAATCCTCGAAAAATTCTCCGCGTATATGTTTTCAGGAATTATAATTTCGTTCTTTGCAATTTAAAGCCGGTCTAGCGAGAATTTTATTCAGCAGAAGGTGATCTTCGTTCTATGGAACAAGATCCTGTGTGTATGTATTTTTGAGACGCTATTCGTTTCACGAGGAGAAAGAAAGAGAGACAGAGCGAGAGATATAAGCGAAGAAAATAAAGAAAAAAGAGAGAGAGGGAGAGAAACGCAAAGAATGAGATGAGAAAAGAAGTCATCGTTCTTGCAGAGAACGGACGTAAGCAAGGCCAGGAGAGAAGGAACAGTAAAATTGTGGAGAATGTGTACGCGCCATCAGGGTGGCCTAGATTTGAAGTAAGACCTGCTTTCTAGGCAAGCATTTCTCTTTTTCCACCAAGAGCAGCAATGCACACTCACACACACACACAAACAAATATATTGCAGAGAAAATCCACAGGGTGTGCAAATGAAAGATTCGCATTTTCCTATTGAACACAGAAATTTTCGCGTTCGATTTCACATAAGGAACGATCGTCGTGACCAATGGAGAAAAAAAAGAGAGAGAGAAATACACAATCGAGGCTCTCGATTTCCGGTCATGTCCCACTTTTTCCGGTTCCGCTATTCGTCGCTCGATTTTTTTTTGTTTATATCCTTAAATCCCATCTTTTTTGTTCTCCTCTCTTTTTGTAAATATTTATCAAACGGTATATAATATAGAAAAAAGAATATTTCTTTTCCCGCGCGTCAAGGTCGAATTCTTCTCTAATGAGTCAACTTTTAAAAAACTTGGAATTTATTTATTGTATTGTCACACGAATGAAAAAAAGATTGTTTGCATTACGAAAATTTCCTCTTTTTTCTAAATAGAAAAACAAAAAAAAATTGTTTTTTTATTTATTTACGCAGATCTTTCTCAAGAAACTCGACTAAAACTTTTCACTGTGCTCTCTAAAAAGAATTAATGAGTTCGCGGTACTGACAGTTGTTTTTGTTATTCGCTAGAAAAATGAGACAATAGGGTATTTGAAGAAAAAAGAATTTCATCACAGTACATCGAGTTTATGTATTAGACTATGAATTGTGTTTTGAGAAACACGTATACTTATCAGTCAACAAATTTTCGTTTGCAATTTTTTCCTCGTCTCGAAAATATTAATTCGAAACATTTTTCGTAAATAAGTTACAATAATAGGTTGCAATAATAAATTAATAATAAATTAAATTAATAAATTTCAATAATAATTTTAATCAATAAATTAAATCAATAAATTAAGAAATAAAAGTGTAAACAAAAGAATAAATCAACTTAGAAAAAAATTTCCGCGACTTGAATAGAAAAAGTGAGGAATTGAAAAGTAGTTTTTAGGTTAGGTCTAAAAGAAAATGTTTTTACTCACAAAAAAATTTGCATCTCGTATCAATAGAATATTTAAATATAATAGACCTCTCACAATTCAGGGAAATGTAAAAATTAACGAGAATCAAGCACTGTGTAGAATAGAGTAGAAAAAGAGAAAGGCGATGATTGGATAAATATAACTGTCTATAAAGAACTATTCAATTGAATGCACCTAAAAGAGAGTTTAATCTTCCGAGGAAATTTTCGAAACTTTACTTAAAATCTGAAAAATTTACTCTTTCAGGAGAAAAAAGATACGAAAGATGATAAAAAAGAAACAAAACAAAATAAAGATTTTTCCCGAGAAAATACAAAATAAATAACGAGAAATCTGAGACAATAACAAAAGTTACTCCTCAAGGTTTATATTTATAATCAAGAAAATTAAAAACTAATTAAAATGATGTTTAATTCATATAAAAAAAATCCTCAATTAGAGATCTTTTTCTATGTACATATAATTGTTGCACTTTCTCCGAGATCAACAATCTCATGAAAAAAACTAGTCATTATGTGTCACGAAAGAAAATAGAGAAAGAAAAGAAAGAAGAACTAAAATTGAAAAGAAATTAAGAAATACACTCGATTTTCTGAATATTCTTTTGTAAACTTTTTGATAAGAAAAAAAAAAAATTTTCCTTGTGAAATTAGAAAATGACAATTCAATGTATTATTTAAGAAATGGAGAAGTAAACACAATTTGACCTTGATTTTGGGCTGTAAAAGTTTTACCGATAACTCATCAACTATTATTGGATGAAATTGCGCACGTGACCTACCATAATCCAAGATTTGAACTTGCAACGCGGGAAATGTGTCAAATTCAGAGAATGTGCGCGGCTAGTAGAGAAAGTTTTTTAATCGAGTTTAACAGCAAGAGGTGGTTTCAATGCCGTACGTCATTGTCACATACGCCTACGCATACTGAGCATTCAGCTGCGCGAGAAAAGGACGAGGGAGCCAAAACAAAATAGAAATCAAGTCGACGCACATTAATTAACTGGTTATGGAAAGAGAACGAGAAAGAAAAAGAAAAATCGAAAGAATACGTGAAAAACACATTCTCGTTATTTCTCTTAATCAAAACAAACGACTGTCAAAAAAAAAATGCACATGGCTCTACTTCCGGATTGAAATAAATTAAAATACCTGGGTTCAATTTTAAGAATAGAAAATAAACATCATATCGTAAAGTATAAAAGAATAATTGTATAGTTAATAGTATAAAAATATCCTGGGATTATCTTTACCTTACCATCGCCTGACCCACAAATCAAAGCACACACTATGTAAAATTCCACACACTTAAAAGACAGTGCCAAGGTTCATGGAAAAGAAAGCACACGACACTGTCAAGTTTTTTCGACGTATTGCAACGGAAATGAAACACTCGCGTACTGACACTCCGAATGTCGTGGCATGTATTGTACGTTGAAATGAAGTTTGGCAGCTGTCACTCACCGTTTGCTCGAAGAAAACAGCACACAGTAGTGGCGTAGCGGAAAAAGTCACTAGGGGGCACAACGTGATGGCGGTGCTTCGGTGGTGCAAAGCGATTTTGTTGTGGATTCTTCCTTCGTTGACTTGCTCTCTCTCTTTCCCGGTTTTCCACTTCTCCCGCGCCGCCAACTGCGCTGCCCCCACCCGACTCTCTCACCGAGAGAGAGAACCCCTTCTACCACCCGCACTGACAGTATTATACCGGCGAACGATGCCAGGGCCGTATATGAAAATTTCTCTTTACCTCCAAGAAAATAAAATTTTCTTTTTAGATAAAACAATTTTCTTTTTGTCACTACTGTTTTTACTACTCTTTGTACTACTATTGCTGTGAACTACTGCTGTTTACTATACTCGTAAACATTTTGCAAATTAAGTATATTTAATTAATTTTTGGTATGAAAATCGATTTATGAATTTTCTTTTTTTTAATATATGCTGCGGTATTAGTTATGAATTTTTCAAAATATACTCTGATTGTCTCTTTCTTTCCTAATTTACAGAAGAACCAATTCCAATGGTTGGTTTTTAAGAAAGCCACTTATTCCGGGCGATAATAATTAACTATTCGGCCCTGATTACTTCTCGCAGCAGTAGACGTTCAAAATTTTGATCCTAATTTTCTATTTGCACACAAAATAAACGAAATGACATTTGAGTAATAACGCTGCTAGTTGACGATAATTTGAACTTAAATAATTTAAATATTCCATAAAATTGTTTTTACAGTCATCTTTGAAGAGGAATTCAATTAAAATAAAATAGGTAAGAAAATATTTTGATCCATTTTCAATTTTTATTTTTTAAATTGGTAGATTTTCAAATTTTTAAGTGATTTTGTAGTAAAATTTGTTTTTGTATCTACAAAAGAAATGACGAACGAAAACAATGATTTTTACTATTTTTTGAAACTTTTTTTTCGAAAAAATTGCTTTTAGACTAAAAATGCCAAAAAATACTATTTTTATTTAAAAATTTATTAGTTTACTTTTCTAACTAATTTCAAGTCATAATGTTTAATATAAAAATTATTATATAATAATTAACAAGATATTCAAGATATTAAATTACAAAAGGTTTTATTGAAAGTATTTTGAAATTTTAATTCCTGGTGGACAAATTGAATTGAAAAATATTCAATAAGAAGTATTAAAATATTTATTAAACAAAAATTAATCAATTAATTTTGACAAATTTTATTTTTAAGTTCTGAAAAAACGTGGATTCCAAAAAATCGTACTTAGAATTTTTTTGAAAATAATTGGAATTCTCGAAAATAATTTCAAAAAATTGAAAAGTAGAAAATTTTCTCAAATTTCATTAAAATAAATTTTATATTTCAAGAAAAATTTTTTTTAAACTTTAAAAAATTATTTAAAAATTTTTATTATACTTTTTAAAGAATTGTAATTAGAAATTTGGAAATAACTAATTTTTACAAAAACTTTTTGTATTTAAATAGTTCAATTATCGTTGAATTCTATAATAAAAATTTATTTAAAAAAAGTATTTCAGTTTAAATTTTGAAAAATAATTGAATAGTAAAAGCGTTATAACTTCAGGAATTTTGATAAATAATTAAATTTTAAAAGGTTTTTAAATTTAAATCTTTTTCTGCCAAAATTGAATTATTTTTAAACATTTTCATAAAATTCTTTATTAAAACAATTCAATTATTTTCAAAATTTTTTTCGAAATTCAATTTTTTACCACATATTTACAATTTTAATCAAAGTTTTCCAAAAAATTCAATTATTTTCAAAAATTATTGTTATAAAATTCTTCAAACGAATTCAATTATTTTCACAAATAATAAGTTTTTTTACAGAAATTCAATTATTTTTAAAAATTTTAATAAAATTCTCAGCAAGAATTGAATTATATTTTCATAAATAATAAAAATCACTCCAAAATTTTAATTATGTTTAATATACAATTTTAAACAAATTCCTAGAAAAATGCAGTTACTCTGAAAAATTTTATTAAAATCTTTCAAAAGAATTCAATTATTTTCAAAAATTCTGATAAAATTCTTTATAAGAATTCAATTTCAAAAAATATTTAATTATTCATTAAATTATTTATTTTTGTGTTTATATATTTTAGAAATTTCATCGCAGAATTTCAATATTTTTTAATTAAGTTTTAATTGAATTTCTCAAAAAATGCAATTATTCTTAAAAATTTTATCAAAATTCATCGAAAGAAGTCAATTATTTTCAAAAATTTTGATACATTTCTTTATAAGAATTCAATTTTAAAAAATATTTAATTATTCATTAAATTATTTATTTTTCTATTTAAATAATTGAATTCTCGTTGAACTTTCTAATAAGAATTCATTGATTTGAAAAAATTGAATTTCATCTAAAATTTTAGATAATAATTGAATATTTTATGAATTTTTGTAAATAATTGAATTTTAAAAGACTTTTATACTAAAATCTTTGAAAATTTGAATTGTTGCAAAAACTAACAATAATATTAAAAATTTTACATATTGAGAAATTATTTATTTATTATTTTCTTAAAAATTATTAAAGTTTTGAATAATTTTATTCGAAAATTCTATAAAAAATCATTGACTTTTGGAAGAACTGCAGTTTTAATGTTTAGAAATAATTAAATTTCTGAAGGTTGCGTACATTCAAATTATTTAAATTAAATTAAATTAAATTAAATTTTAATTAAAATAAATAAGAATCAGTTTTTACGTTTTTTTAACAAAAATTATTAAATTTTTAAATAACATAATTTAGAGATTAAGAAAACAAATTAGTCTTCTGAAAAATTGTTAATTAAAATTTTTTTTAAGATAATTGTATTCGGGAAAATAATTTTAAAAATTGATAGCAAAAGTTTTGTCAAATTTCATAGAATTTAATTTTATCACTTTTAAATATATTGTTTTGAAATTTAATCGTATTTTTAATTATTATATTTAGAAAACTTTTATTTTTTTAAAAATAATAAATTTTCAATAATTAAATTTCAAAAAGAAAGTTTTTGTAACTAACATGGAGCCATAAAATTTCACCCAAACTTGCGCGCGTGTGTAGTTATAGGTTCATAATAAAATTATGATTTAAAATTAGTTTGAAAAAATGGATTTTCAAATAAAAAATAGAATAATAATTGTATTTTTTAGTATTTTCAGCTTAAAAACGTTTTTTTTTTCTTCAAAAATAGTGAAGATAAATTTTTTCATTTAGCAATTTTTTTATGGATGCAAATGCACGTCTTGTGTATACAAAGTTTGTTAACAAACTAACTCATTAAAAAGCGTAATATATTATAATGGAATAATAACAATATATGTACAAATATTTACTATTTCATTTGGAGTGAAAAAGAAATTTCCTTTACCCAAAAGAAACAAGTTTGGGTTCAAAAAATATGTACAAATTTGAATTCGATTTTCATATTTAAATGTTTAATATTGCCAAGTGTCTAAATCTAAATTCCAAATGTCTCGTCCTGTACTTGTATAATATAATAAACTTTATTAAAAAAAAATTTTTTTTAAAAATACAATTTTCCTAATTCACCATTTTTCCCAATTTGTACGAATGTGCTTTCTCCATTATTACATTTTATGAATTTTCCGATAATGCGTCTTGAGGCATTTTAGTGTTAAATAAATTTTATTACAAACAATACACTTGTGCGTCACGCCACAATCATAAGCTTTATGTCTATTCATGGTGTATTTATCCGAAGAACTATAACCACAAACCTCACAACTAAACAGCAAATGACTCATATAATTTCTATTATCATTTTTCGATTTTTGAAAATTTCTCATATTTTCATAATACGTTTTATTTATCCTCTCTTCAGCTCTATGATGCGAATAAGCATTCTTCTCAATATCCAGCTTTCGAATTCCTATTAAAGTCGTCAATTTATTTGCTTTACCTGCAACATTTAAAACAATTCGTTTAATAAAGTTCAGAAAATGTGTAGGTGAGCAAAAAACGTCAAAAAAACGGCACAATAAGTACTTATTCAAAAATGTGTAGTCTGTATGGAATTTATTCTTGAAAAAAACTTTTTAATGGTACCTATGGTAAAAATTTTTTTATGGGAGATTTTTTTTTATGCGCAACCTGGAAACCTATGGAAAACCTGTAAATGTCAGGGAATTTTATAAACCTTGAAAAAATCCTGGAAAAGTCGCAGGGAATCTTTATCGGAAATCTGGAAAATTGTTGTTTTCTAAAGTTATTGGCGTTTATTCTTGAAATATAATTTTTCTAAAATATTTTTAAATTCAATTTTAAAAGAGTTGCGTTTACAATTTTCATAAGTAGATGAACTTCAAAAGATTTTGGTTTAAAATTTTGTAAAATTTCAAATTTTAAATGAATTTAATTAGAAATATAATAAAACTTAGATTTAAAAAAACATTTAAAAACTAAAATTCTTCTGAAATTATAGTTAAATTTTTTAATATATTAAAATTATTATTAATTTAATTGATTATTAAAAATAATGGATTTATAGAAGAATTTTAGTTAAAAACACTACAACAAATTGAATTTTGAAGCAATTACAAATGATTGCAGAAACTCAATTATTTTCAAAAGTTAGTAAAATTCTTCTCAGAAATTCAATTATTTTCAAAAATTTTCATAAAATTCTTGTCAAAATTTTAATTGTTTTCAAAAACTTTCCTCAATTCAATGATTTTAAATATCTGCTACTTTAATAAATATTTCTAAAATAATTCAATTAGTAAAAAAATTTTTAATAAAATTCAAAGCAAACATTTAATTATTTTCATTGGAAATAATAAAAATTTTACAGGAATTCAATTATTTACAAATTATTTTCATATATTTATTCAATAATTTTCATAAATAATAACATTTTTTACAGGGATTCAATTCTTATCATAAATAATAAAATTCAATGCAGAATTTCAATTATTTTTAATACAATTTTAATGAAATTCCTCGAAAAAAGTTTATTATTCTTGAAAATTTTATTAAAATTTATCAAAGAAATTTAATTATTTTAATAACCTTTGCTACAATATATTTATAAGAATTTAAGTATTATTTTCAATATATTTTTAATTAAATTTCTTGAAAGAATTAAATTATTTTTAAAAATGTTAATGAAATTATTATTAATTCTCGTCAAAATTTTAATTATCTTCCTAAATATCAAAATGCTTCTCAAAAATTGAATTATTTTAAGAAATTTTAATAAAATTATTTGCAAAAATTCAATTATTTGCATTAATAATAATATTCATCGCAAGAATTCAATTATTTTCAAGAATTTTAACGAAAATATTGTCAACAATTCAATTATCTTTATAAATATGTAATAAAATTCTTAAGAGAAATTCAATTATTTTTAAGAATTTCAAAAAAAATTGTTTGCAAAATTCAATTATTTTCATAAATAGCAATATCCATTACTAAAATTCAATTATTTTCAAAAATTTGAATGAAATGAATTGCGAAAAAATTTATTTTTTTTCAAAATAATTTTAATAAAATTCTTCGCAGAAATCTAATTATGTTTAAAAATTTACAAAAATTCTCGTCAAAATTTCAATTACCTTCATAAATAATAAAAATTTTCTCCAAAATTCAATTATTTTAAAAAGTTTTAATTAAATTCTCTTCAAAATTTCAATTATCTTTATGAATAATAAAATTCATCTAAAAAATTCAATTATACAAAAAAATTTTAATAAAATTCTTCTCAAAAATTCAATTATTATAAAAAATTGTAACCAAAATCTTGTCAAAATTTCAATTATTTTCCATAATTTCCCTCAATTATCAATGACTTTCATTATCTACTGATTTCATAAAATTTTCCAAAAGAATTCAATTATTTAATAAAATTCTACGCGCAAACATTTAATTATTTTCATAAATAATAAAAATTTCACAAAAATTAAATTGTTTACAAATTTTTTTTTATAAAATTTCTTATATTCAATTATTTTCATAAATAATAATTAAACTCATCACAGAGTTTAAATTATTTTTAATACAATTTTCATCAAATTAATAAAATTCCACGCAGACATTTAATTATTTTCATAAATAATAAAAATTGGACAGAAATTCAATTATTTACAAAATTTTTTTTATAAATTTCTTCCCAAAAGAATTCAATTATATTCGTAAATTCAATAAAACTCATCACGCAGAATTTCAATTATTTTTAATACAATTTTAATCGAGTTTCTCGGAAAATGTAATATTTTATTCTAAAAATTTTATTAAAATTCACCAAAAAAATTCAATTATTTAAATATTTATTGATAAAATTCTTTATTAGAATTCAATTTTAGAAACCATTCAATTATTCAATAAATTATTTATTTTTAAATTTAAATAATTCAATTAAATAATCGAATTAACGTAAATTTTTCTAATAAAAATAAATTTTAGTTCAAATTTTAATAAAATTTATCAAAAAATTTCAATTATCTTTATAAATAAAAAAATTTTCTCCAAAATTCAATTATTTTAAAAAGTTTTAATAAAATTCTTGATAAAATTTCAATTATCTTCATGAATAATAAAATTCTTTCCAAAAATTCAATTATTTAAAAAAATTTTAATAAATTCTCAAAAATTCAATTATTTTCAAAAATTTTAATAAATACTCAAAAATTCAATAATTTTTAATAATGTCAATAAAATTCTCGTCAAAATTGTTTTCAATTATCTTTATAAATAATAAAATTCTTCTGAAAAATTCAATTATTATCAAAAATTTTAATAAATTTCTTGGCAAAATTTCAATTATAGGTACTGTTTTCATAAAAATTATCCAAAAGAATTCAATTATTTAATAAAATTCTACGCAAACATTTAATTATTTTCATAAATAATAAAAATTTCACAAAAATTCAATTCTTTTACAAAATTTTTTTTATAAATTTCTTCGTAATTATTCAATTATTTTCATAAATAATTAAACTCATCGCAGAATTTCAATTATTTTAAATACAATTTTTATAAAATTTTTTGAAAATTGCAATTATTCTTAAAATTTTTATTAAAATTTGTCAAGGGAATTCAATTATTTAAATATTTGTTAAAAAAAAAAATTCTTTATAAAAATTCAATTTTAAGAAACATTCAATTATTTAAATAAAATATTTATTCTCATAGTTAAATAATTGAATTCTCGTAGAATTTTCTAATAAATATTGATTAAAAACTTGAATTTCAAATTAAAATCGATGAAAATTTGAACATTTCATACTTTTAATTAAGAATTCTATAGAAATAATTTTTATAGCATTTTTCTCAATAAGTTTAATGGAATTTTTTTTAATTATTCAAAGTTTTTAATTTCTAATATATTTAATTGAAAAATGTCAGAATAATCGAAATTTCTTAAAATTAAATTATAAACGAATTTGAATATTCACAAAGAACTTTTTTAAAACTTATTTAAAAAAAAATTTGACCTAAAGAAGAATTTTAGTTGAAATTTCTAGAAATAAAAAATCGAAATGATGAATGTTTTGAAGAAGTTAAAGTCACAAAGTAGCAAGTTTGAATTATTATAAAATTTATTATTATTAATAATTTATATTATAATTATTATTATAATATTATTTTAAAATATTATAATTATTATATAATAATATTCTTGTTATTGAGTTTCAAATTTTTGAAAATCTTAATTTCTATAGAAAAATAATGATTAAATATTTATTTAAAAATCAAGTTATTATTTTCGAATAATTGTCGTTTTAAAAACACCTGGAAAAATTTCGTTTTTTTACATGGAGAATCTGGAAAAGTCAGGGAATTTGAAAAGAGCATAAGCGTGGCAACCCTAATATGGAAAGAAAAATGGAAACAGATTTTGTTTTAATTCACTCTAAAAACTTTAATAGACCCCTAATGAGATAAACATCTACAAATAATATTGCTTTTTGCTACAATACATTTTTTTGTGATTTACATATAAGCACACAACTATAATTCAAAATTTTTAAAACATTTCCTAATTTCTATCGTGAACCATACGAATATGTTGCGTTAGATAATCCTGCCTTTTGTAAATTTTATGACATATAAAACATCTATGTGTTTTGCCACACTCATTCTTTTTGTGTCTGGTGAATTTATATTTCAGATTAAAATTTGCTCCGCAATGACAACTAAATAGAAATCGTTTATTCTTTTCCTTAACTGCCGGATTGTGGGAGCATTTTTTTTCGTGTACTGTTTTTCCACGACTAGCCTCAAAATTTCTATTACAAAATCTACATGTCAATTTTTTTTCCACTTCCTCCTCTTCTTCCTCGTAATTTTCTTCTTCTTCTTTACGTGCCGATAGTGATTCAATACTCCGAATGTAAAGAGTCGGAAAATTTTCCCCTTGATACAATTCACCTGTAACAGAATTTTCTTGTTAATGTTTAAAAGCAGTTCAAGCTTTTACTGTTTCTTAAAAAAGATCAAATTTCAATGCAGACCATGAAATTAAAAAAAGAATTAACTAACCTTTTGTTATAATTTTCATGCAAAAATAAAAGCCGAACGCAAGTGCAAAATACTACGAAGTGTTTGTGATAATGAATCTTTTTAAGCATTTCGTTAATTTATTAACTAAATAATTCCATGCATGAAAGACGGTAAAACTGTAAAAAAAAGACGGTAAAAATGTAAAAAAAAGACACTAATAGAGTAAGAAATTCGGTACAGATTTTTAGTCTTTATTTTATAAATGAAAAGCTTTATATAATCCATTTACGATGGACCCGTCGATGGTGTCTTTTTAGAGCATCCAGTGATGCGTAAGTTTTATTACATTTTTTACAAAAATTGGATGCGCCACAATTAGTGAGTTTATGCTTAGTTAATTCGCTTTTTTGATTAAAATTATAACCGCAATTGTAGCAACTGTAGATTTGAAACTTTTTCAGCTTGGTATTAATTATCGGATTTGTGGAACAATTATTTTCATGAAGTCCTCTTCCGCGAGTTGAGGCAAAATTCTTTCTGCAAAATTGACAGGGAAACTTGACCCCTTCGTCTTCTTGTAATACCGAGGTGGGATCTTCTCCTTGCACTGATTCATCTGTAACATAAAATTTTTTTTTTATTAAAGTATTTTAAAAAAAGAGAATCGTTTCTTGAAAAAGAATTGTTTTAAAGGTATTTGGTACGGATATCATATTTCAATATTTACAGTATTATTTAAAAAAAAATTAAAATTATTATTATTATAATTATAATTATTATTATTTAAAAAGTAATCGAGACACAATTTTTCTAAGGATATCAAATTGAGACAAAAAAAGTGTCAAAAATGTTGCGAAGCAACGTTTTTGATACATTTTTATAAAAATTTCACAGAAATTCAATTATTTACAAAATTTTTTTTATAAAATTCTTCCCAAAGGAATTTAATTATATTCGTAAATTCAATAAAACTCATCACAGAATTTCAATTATTTTTAATACAATTTTAATCGAGTTTCTCGGAAAATATAATATTTTATTCTAAAAATTTTATTAAAATTCACCAAAAAAATTCAATTATTTAAAAATTTATTGATAAAATTCTTTATTAGAATTCAATTTTAGAAACCATTCAATTATTCAATAAATTATTTATTTTTAAATTTAAATAATCGAATTAACGTAAATTTTTCTAATAAAAATAAATTTTAGTTCAAATTTTAATAAAATTTAACAAAAAATTTCAATTATCTTTATAAATAAAAAAATTCTTCGCCGAAATTTAATTATTTTCAAAAATTTTAATTTGACAAAATTTCAATTATCTTTATGAATAATAAAATTCTTTACAAAAATTCAATTATTTTAAACAATTTTATAAACTTTTAAAAATGCAATTATTTAAAAAAATTTTAATACAATTCTTCTGAAAAATTCAATTATTTTCAAAAACTTTAATCAAATTCTTCTGAAAAATGTAATTATTTCCAAAATTTTTAATAAAATTCTTCTGAAAAATTCAATTATTATCAAAAATTGTAATAAAATTCTTGACAAAATTTCAATAATCTTTATAAATAATAAAATTCTTTTTAAAAATTCAATTATTTTCAAAAATTTTAATAAAATTCTTGTCAAAATTATTTTCAATTATCTTTATAAATAATAAAATTCTTCTGAAAAATTCAATTATTATCATAAATTTCAATAAGTTTCTTGGCAAAATGTCAATTATTTTCAACTTATTTTCCTCAATTCAATGACTCAATATTTACCATTTTCATAAAATTTTCCAAAAGATTTAAATTATTTAATAAATAATAAAATTTTCAGGAATTTTAACAAAATTCATTGCAAAATTTAATTATTTTCATAAATAACAATATGAATCATAAGAATTCAATATTATTTTCAAAATTAATAACATTCTTCGCAGAAATTCAATTATTTTGAAAAAATTAAAAAAAAATGTCAACATTTCAATTATTTACAAAAATTTTCCTCAATTCAATGACTCAATTTTTACTATTTTTATAAAATTTTACAAAAGAATTCAATTATTTAAGAAAATTCTAAGCAAACATTTAATTATTTTCATAAATAATAAAACTCATCGCAGAATTTCAAATTATTTTCAATACAATAATTTTAATCAAATTCCTCGGAAAATGCAATTATTTAAAAAAAATTTTATTAAAATCCGTCAAAAGAATTAAATTATTCTAAAATTTGTTGTTAAAATTCTTCATGAGAATTCAATTTTAAGAAACATTCAATTATTCAATAAATTATTAATTTTGGTATATATTTAAATAAATGAATTCTTGTAGAAAATTTTCTAATAAATATTCATCTAAAAATGAATTTCAGAACAAAATCTTTGAAAATCTGAATTTTTCATACTTTTAACAAAGAATTCTGTAGAATTTAATTTTTTTTTTTGAAAAAGGTTAATTGAATGTTTTTTTTAAAAATTATTTCAAGTTTTTTTCTCTAATATACAGTTGTTGAATTTTCGAATAATCGATGAAATTTCTTAAAACTGACTTGTCAATAAATGGATTTGAATATTTAACTTTTTCAAAAATATTATTAAAAATAATAATTGATTTAGAGAAGAATTTTAGTTATAAATTCTAGAAAATAATAGTTGAATTCAAATGATTGAAAATAATTTAGAAAAAGTTAAAGTAACAATATTCTTATAATATAAAATAATGATTTTATTACTCTATATATCATCTTTAAATATTAGAAAACAGGAAAATTTTCTTTATTTCTAATAAAAATTAGAATTCTTTTTGTTTCTTATTTTCTAATTCTATAAGAATTTCTTTATGTTTTATGGTTAAGAAAAAATTTTATTAATAGTTTTAAGTAAAATATTCTTTTATTTTACTCGGCCTGATTATATTTTTGAAAGAGGAAATAAACGATTTCTGAATAAATAACTAAATATGTGTCGAAAACAAAGATTTATTAACTTATCCCAAGTTTTTGATGATCAATAAGATTCTTCTAGATTTTTAGTTTCTTAAATTGATATACTAATCATTACTACTAATGAAAACATTTATTATGTACAAAAGACATTCAAGAAAGTGACGTTCGATATACAAATTATAAAGTAAGGAGAAAATTAATTCACATATTCTTCTAAAAATATAAAATTGAGACAAAAAACGCACCGAAATCATTCTTGAAAAACCAGACAATTGGCAACAATAAAATTGATACGAAAAAACATATCAAAATTATTGCCAACCGTTCGGTTGGCAACAATAAAATTGAGACAAAAAACATATCAAAATTGTTGGCAACAATTTTGATATGTTTTTTCTCTCAATTTTATATCCATAGAAAAGCTGTGATTACACTTTATCCAAAAAAAAAGCAGTTACTTTTTTCTTGCCACTAACTAAGTTCTATGGAAACAATGGACTGTACGAAAGTGTCTCTCTAAATTATTTCGCGACGAATACATTTTGTTGCATATTTTACACTTCTGCGACACGCCACAATAGGCTTTATGCTTATTGAAACCGCCTTTGGAGCTAAAATTAAATCCACATTTGTGACAACTGAACCTCAAACGTCTCAATTCTTTATTAATTGCCGGATTCTGTAGACATTTGTCTTCGTGACGTGTTTTTCCACTCAATGTTCCAAAATTCCTTCTACAAAATTTACACTCTTCAACGGCTTCCTGTGGTTCCTGTCTAATCAGCAGATCAAGGTTCTTAACTAATAAAACCGGCGATTCCATAAAGTCACCTGCAACACAACATGATTACGTTAAATAGTGTTTTTTTTTTTAATCTTAGTAAAATTTTATACTTCTTTAAGGGCATTTGAACCTTTTCTTTAACCTTTTTTCTATATTTTTTTGAACCTTTGTTTTAATCTTTTTTCTTTATTTTTTTATACCTTTTTTCAACCTTTTTTCTTTATTTTTTTGTACCTTTTTCAACCTTTTTTCTTTATTTTTTTAAACCTTTTTTTGAACCTTTTTTAACGACAGTTTTAGAACATGTGCTTTGCACAAGCTGTGAAGTCATAATGGTTCAAATGCTCTTAAAAAAGTTTTGAATATTAATAATGTATGAAATTTTAAGTAATACTGATTAATACGAACATTAGTAGTATTAATAATTAATGAAACAGTGAATGAAGTAATACCCGTACACATAGTAGCATTTGTGACAAAACAAAAAAAATTATTCCACATTGTGACAATACACATGCATATTTTTTGAGTCTGACAAAGAAGCACGAATTTATTGCAACGATTTTCGATTTTTGAGCATAAAACTAAAAATTAGTTTATAAGTAAACATGCAAAATCACAATATAAGGATTAAGAGACCAGAGTGAAAATTTGGAAATATTGATATTTGTATTTTCTAAAAAGTCAATTTTAAACTACATCGAAGTTTTCGTTTTGAATAAAATTTCCGTAAATAGGTCGTAACATCCTTGAGTAAAGAGTGTATTAATTAATTTCTGTATTAATTAATTAATTAATTTGTTAAAGTTAAGTAATATTTTTAATTTACAAAAACAAATCGTTCGGTTTTCTCTTCCACTAATATTTCCCCAATTCGCATGTTCCGGACACTTTTCGTTTAACTTTGTACACCGAGAAAAAAATATATTTGAATCATAATTATCTTTGTCATACAGTCAACCAAAAATTATTTTTGAATTAAACGTATAATAATTTTGATTCAATACATAATAAGTCTGATTCAATAAAAATAATTGTGGGTCCCAATCAAAGAACCGGTTATAATTTTTTAAGACTCAAAATTCTCCACCTCTAAATAAAAAAAGGTGTTAACATTTCAATTTCTTGAAAACATTTCGTATTTGTATAAAAATTACAATTAACAAACAATTAACAAACAGTATTCGAGAAAAATTAAGATCTTTGAAAAAAATACCGAAATTATAAAGATTACCAAAATTGGAATTAAAAACAGTTTAATTTTTGACTTACAGGGCAATGATTTTGAGCTTTAAAAAAATAACCGGTTCTTTGATTTGGCCCCTCAATTGTTAAAGAACTTTAATTCAAAAATTTTTTTTGATTGGCTACAATTTTTGTATTAAAAAAAAATTCCCACAGTGTAAATAGTAAAAGTTTTATACATTTAATTAATATTAAAATTAATATTAAAATTTAATACATTTTTTCTTCCGTCAAATAATGTTTACGGAAAATTGGTTCTCGAAAAAAATTAGTTATCTATTGACTATGAACAATAATACACTGACCCTTTCGAACATGTGCTCTCAGAGTTTTTAACGAAGTATAAATTTTATGACACTTTTTACATTTGTGCGTTACACCACAATCGTAGGTTATATGGCGGATTAGAGATTTTTTCTGACTAAAATTATTACCACAATTTTTGCAACAAAATCTAAAACGTAACATGCGCATATTAATCTTTGGATTACGAGTGCATTTATTTTCGTGAACTATTTTATTGCTCTTGCGTCCGAAATTCTGTTTACAAAAGCGGCATGAAATTATCTTCATATTCGTATCGCTATCATCTTCTTGCGACGATGATAGAGGTTCAATTTTATCAATTCTTAGCAGTGGCCATTTTATTCTCGACGATAATGCTGAAATAGAAAACAAGTTTTTCTTTTAGTCAAATAGATTTTTTGATATTGGTGAAATTTTTGGTAATTTTCTAACAAAATGTGTAAATATACAAATATGTGGATTGGTATAAAGGAATTCTGATTAATATTTGTATTTGCAATAATCAGTGTTGATACTACTTAATACATTTAATTTAATAGACATTTGGCTTTAAAAATCACAGGGTTGCCAAGCAAATTATGGAAATGTCAGGAATTTTTATTAAAAGTAGTAAAAAAAAATTGTAGTTTTAGAATTCATAAGAAAATTCTGAATTTTTGTGTCTTTTTTGTTTGCCTCATAAACTATGAAATTACCACGAATTCTAATACAAAATATTCAATTTATTCCAATTCTGACAATAATTTTTCTTTTTAAATAACTTAATTTTTGAAGAACCGTCATAAAATTATTACCTATGAAATACTTAATGAATAATTGAACTTAAACATTTCAAAAATAATTAAATTCTAAACGAGTTCAGTTTACAATCATCATAACTAGATGAAATTAATTAAAGATGAAATTAGTTAAATTTTTTAATATATATTTAACTAGTTATTAAAAATAATGGATTTATAGAAGAATTTTAGTTAAAAAATACTAAAAAAAAATTGAATTTTGGAGAAGGTTACAAATTATTGCAGAAATTCAATTATTCTCAAAATTAATAAAATTCTTCGCAAAAAATTCAGTTATATTCAGAAATTTTTTTAAATTCTTGTCAAAATTTCAATTATATTTAAGAATGATAAAATTCTTCTCCGAAATTCATTTTTTATCAAAAATTTTAATAAAGTTCTTGGCGCAAAATTACAACTTTTACAAAAATTCTCCTCAATTTAATAATTTTCAATATCAGATTTAATTATTTTCAAAAATAATAAAATTCTTGGCATTCAATTATTCTCCTAAATAATGAAATTCATAAGCAGAATTTTAATTATTTGTAATTCAATTTTAATCGAATTTCTCGAAAAATGTAATTATTATTTAAAATTTTATTAAAATTCGTCAAAAGAATCGAATTATTTAAAAATTTATTGGTGAAATTCTTTATCAGAATTCCATATTAGGAAACATTCAATTATTCAATAAATTACTTATTTTGAAATGTAAACAATTGAATTATCGTAGAATTTTCTAATAAAAATTGATTTAAAAATTAATTTCAGTTAAAATTTTATTAAAATTCTTCAAAACATTTAAATTACCTTTATAAATAATAAAATTTTGTTAAATTCAATTATCATTATGAATAATAAAATTCTTCTCAAAAATTCAATTATTTTCAAAATTTTTTTAAATTTTTGTCAAAATTTCAATTAATTTTATAAATAATAAAATTCTTTTCCGAAATTCAATTATTTGCAAACTTTTTATAAATTCAATTATTTAAAAATTTATTGATGAAATTCTTTATCAGAATTCAAATTTAGGAAACATTCAATTATTTAATAAATTAGAGTTAATAATTGAATTATATCGTAGAATTTTCTATTAAAAATTGATTTAAAAATTAATTTTAGTTAAAATTTTAATAAAATTCTTCGAAGAATTTCAATTACTTTTATAAATAATAAAATTCTTTTAAATTCAATTATTTTTATGAATAATAAAATTCAATAATTTACAAAAACTTTTTAAAAATTATTATCAAAAATTCAATTATTTTCAAAAATGTGAATAAAATTATTCTCAAGAATTCAATTATTTCCAAAAAATTTAATAAAATTCTCCTCAAAAATTCAATTATTATCGTAAATAATGATATTCTTCTGAAAAAATCAATTACGTTCAAAATTTTTATTTATAATTCTTTGTCAAAATTTTGATTAATTTTATAAATAATAAAATTTTTCTCCGAAATTCAATTATTTTCAAAAATTCTAATAAAATTCAACGCAAACATTTAATTATTTTCATAAATAAAAAAATGTCACATGAATTCAATTATTTGCAAATTTTTTATAAACTTTTTTTCCAATAATTCAATTATTGTTATAAATAATAAAATTCCTTAAATGAATTCAACTATAAAACTCATTCAATAACTCATTAATTCAATAACTCATTCAATTATAAAACTCATCACAGAATTTCAATTATTTTTAATATAATTTTAATCAAATTTCTCGAAAAATGTAATTCTTATTAAAAACTTTACTAAAATTCGTCAAAAGAATTAAATTATTTAAAAATTTATTGATAAATTTCTTTATGTGAATTCAATTTTAGGAAGTATTCTATCAATAAATTATTTATTTTAAAATTTAAATAATTGAATTCTTGTAGAATTTTCTAATAAAAATTAATTTAAAAATGAATTTTATTAAAAATTTGAGATTATAATTAAATATTAAATGTCTTTTATATTAAATTTTTAGAAATAATTGAATTTTGAAGAGATTTTATATTAAAATCTTTAAAAATTTAAATTTTTCATATACTTTAAACTAACAATTCGGTAAAATTAATTTTTAGAAAAAGTTTAATTGAATTTTTTCTTTTTTTGAAATTATTTGAATTATTTAAATTATATTTAATTTATATTTAATTGGAGAATTTTCGAATAATTGATGAAATTTCGTAGAATTGAATTGTAAAAAAATTTGAAAATTTGTATAAAAATAAAATTATATACAATTTATAATTTGTATTTGAAAATTTGAAAACTTTTTCAAAAATCATCAAAAATATTTTATTTAAAGAAGAATTTTAGTTCAAAATTTTAGGTTTTTGAAAAATAATAATTGAATTGGAATGATGAAAATAATTTCGAAGAAGTTACAGTAACAATATTCTTATAATATAAAATAATTATTTTATCACTCGGTTGTCTTTAATTATTATAAATTGTTGAATTTCAAAAAAATTAAATTTTTGTAGCAGCCCTGAATCAGATTTGTAAAATTTTTTGTTAAGTTGATAAATTAATATAATAAGTTAACAGTATTTTTTACATTCTATTAAAAAATGAGAAGCTCTTGTTTTTCCGTGTATTTCTACAAACAAAACACATGCTTCTACATATAATAAGGATTTCTATTCTCTCAATCTAAAATCTTAATAACTTATGACAATATGTATAAAAAATTAATCTAAATTAAACTATATTAATTTATTATTTTCATTTCTTAAACACTTTTTCCAGAACTTTTATGCCAAAAGTACATTTCTAAATATAATTATTATTAATTAAGAAAATGCACTATAAAAAAAAAGATTAAAAAAGATTCTAAATTAGAGTCTGATTTTGGTATTAAAATAAAACCAAATTACAATATTTAGTACCAAAATTCGTACTAAATTAGTACTTTTCTTTTTACAGTGTGTTAAAGTATGATCGATTATTATTCTCTTAAAATAACTTTGTTAATTCTTTGGATTTCCACTTTCAGGCTCCTTTTTATATTGACAACGTCGATTATGTCGTTTTAAGCCAAGAATCGTTCCAAAAATTTTATTACACTTTGTGCACTCGTGTATTTTGCCACAATCATTAGCCTTATGATGTATTAAACATCTGTATTCAGCAAAATTACTCCCACAATTATTACAACAAAATCTGTTATGTAATATTTCTTCCCTGATTCTTTCATTCCGACTGCAATTTCCTTCGTGTAGTGTCTTTTTATTATTGTATCCAAATTTCTGATTACAAAAGCGGCAATAATAGAAATTCACATTGTTGTCCACATCCACCAATGATAATGGTTGTAACTTTTCAATTCTTTTTACCTTTAGTAGCGGAAGTTTTCCTACTATCACTGTCTCATCTGTAACAGAAAATGAAAAGACAAATTTGAAAATTATTTTTAATTAGAATCTGATTATTTTCCTGCTATGGTCGAATACAAGTAGAAAAATACAAAAAAAAAGAATTTGAAAACTTTTTTGCTTTAGAAAATTTTAATGGTTTTTTTAAATGCAAAATTGTATGGAAAATAAAAAAAAGGAAAAAACTTGAAAATATTGTATTTTGCAGTAGGTTTTTACAGACTACATCACAGAGTTTGTTGTAGAAAAAATAATAAACTTATAAAATAATATTATTTGGCAAAATAACAATTTTTCGAGTATTGACGAATAAAGAAGAATAAACATAATATTGTGATTCTTATAGAATGAAATTTACACCTTGAAGGTAGTATTCTTTTGAGTCGTTTAAATAACTTGTGTTTTAAGGTTCGGTTGCATCAAGTATGTGAACCCGTATTCTTCTCAACTTTTTGTTACTTAAAGAACAACTTTTTGTTACTTCTAAATGTTGTATGTAACATTTAGAAATGATAAATAACATTTAAAGTTTTTACTATCCATTTTTGGTAAAATAAAATTAATAACAAAAAAAACAAACGACACTTTCGGTTAAGGATTCCTAATTTTTAAATGGTTCCCCCAACGAGATTTTGTCGAAACTATAGTTTCAATTTTCAGTAGCAGAAAAAGAAAATTATTTTTTAAACTTTAACCATTCTCTCTGCAATTTACACTTCTTTCCTCGATCATTATGAATTCTTAAGCCTTCTAATGTTCCAAAAGTTTTATTGCATTTTTTGCACTTGTGTATCACTCCACAATCATTATTTGTATGCCTAATTAATTCTTTTATTCGACTAAAGTTGCTACCACAATTTTCACAACAAAATCTATCGCAGAGCATGTTTTCGTCAACGTTTCCATTGCGACTGCATGTTTTTTCGTGAATTATTTTTTTATATTTTCGTCCAAACATCTTATTACAAAAGCTGCATAAATGGATGACATCATTTACGTTCTCATCGATTTCTTTTAATGGCGTTAGACGTTCAATTCTTTTTACTTTCAGAAGTGGCAATTTCTTTGCAATCCTTATTACTTCGTCTGTAACATAAAAAGTAAGTGGAAAAAATTTTAATCGAATGATTTTTTTGTTAAATTTTATCAACATTTTTCGAAGATTATCAAAATTGAGACCAAAAAAAAAAAAAACGAATCAAATTGTTTTAAAAAATTGTAAAATATGGAGAATCACAAAAAATATGGAAACAGAAGAAAAAGAAAAAATTGTAAAATAGAGAGAATCATGAAAAATAAGGAAACAGAATTTTGAAAATATTTTTTTATATTTCTTGATACATTTTAATTTTTACACTTTATCGAAGTGTATTTTAACAAAAAATAATATTATATTTTAGAATAATAACAATATCATTGCGACGTTACAAAAATACAGAAAATTGTACTTTTCCTGATAAAATTTACTTGCTTAATATAGTAATTATTTTTTGCCAAAGTAGTCTTTCCTTTAAAAAGATGTATTTTTGTATTCTTTTTAATCGACATTCGATTAACTAAAAAGGTATTGCATTTTTTAATATAAAATAATAATAATAAAGAAAAATTAATTTCGTTTAACAATTTATTATTATTAAACAGTTTTTCTTGGTGAAATTTTGTCGAATGTACTTACAAATTTGTTAAATAATTTAATTTAAATTTATTTAGCAAAATTGTCAGCAAAAATAATAAAGAAACATGTTAAAATAATATATTTAATATAATATTCTATTATATATATTATTTATATTTTAATATTATATATTTAATAATAAAATATTAATTATTTAAGAAAATAAATAGGGACATTATTTAAAAAATTTTTGTATAAATAATAATTAAAAAAAAATTTGATTAAGGAAAAACAAATTGTGTAGGTATAAATGATACTTACTCATAAAATTGTATACTATTGGTTAAAAAATTGATCGATTTCACAAACTTTTGTTATTCATTGTTAAGAATCATGAAAAATTATAATAAATTCAACAAAAAAAAATTCTCAATTTTTCTTACAAATTAGTTAATTTTTCAAAAAGTAAAATTAATACATAGGTACAGATAAATTTTAATATCAACCTTTCATTAACAGTTTTGATAATTTGAATGACCTGAATCAGAAACTAATCCAATTAATTCAAATTTAATGAATAAAGTTTTAAAAAAGAAATTTTAAATAAATTCAAAAAAAAAAATTTTTTATTACAAACATTTTTTTCCAATTAAAAAGAATTTTCTCCTTTCATTCTGATTTCTATTATTAACTAATCAGTTCGATTTTTTAAAGTACTTTTAATAATATTTTTAATAATAATTTCAAAAATAATTATTAATGAAAAAAACTAACATTTTTTTCATACCCAACCCTTTAATTTTAAATATATTATTGCATTAAATAATTTATAATTTATATAGTTAATTATTAATAGTTCGTATTAATAATAACAACAACAACCACGAAACACAATACAGTCGAACCTTTTGGAATGCAACTCTATTTTAAAAAATTTTTTTCTATTAAAAAATGTTCAACAAGAATTATTTTCACTTATAGTTTATCAGAATATTGTAAAAATATTAATAAATCAAATTATAAAATAATTTTATTAAGAATTATTTACTGCTAATAAAATATAAAAAATCGAGTTTCATTCCGACAGGTTTCACTGTAACAGACCGAAAATTCTAATGTATTAAAACCACTAGAAAAAAAGGTTACATATAATTTGAAATCTATACTGAATGAAAGAACGAAAAAAAAAATTAATATAGGTAGTCAAAATTATAATAATAATAATAGTAATAAAATATTGAAATAATAAAAATAATAAAGTGTGGGGGGATTTAAATTTGTAAAAACCCAAAAAGGGTACACACGAAGAATTATAAAAAAATTGAAAATTTTAAAAAATTAAAAAAAAAATAGAAAATTTTTTAAAAAAATAAAAAAAAATAGAAGAAAATAATAAAAATATAATAATAATAATAATAATAATAATAATAATAATTATTATTATAGTTAATTATTAAAATTACTCGTGCGCCGAACAAAGCGGTCGGTCTTAGAGATATATATCAGTCACTGGGCCATTTATAATAAATTATGACGTTTTCGAATATGATAATTTAAATTATGTAGAGTAACAAAAATTTTATTGCATATTTTGCACTTGTGCGTTATGCCACAATCATTAAACATGTGTCTCTTTAAACTTCTGTCGTGCTTAAAATTACTGCCACAATTGCGGCAACAAAATCTATCTTTTAACATGTTCTCGTTAATTCTCAAATTGCGACTACACGTTTTTTCGTGTATTCTTTTTCGGGATTCTTGTCCGAAATTCTGTTTACAAAAGCGGCATAAATAAATAATATTTCCATTGTCATTAAATTTTTCCGCTGGAATTAGTTGTTCGATTTTTTTTATTTTTAACAGCGGCTTGTTTCCGGTAAACGCTGCTGCTGCCGCCTCATCTGTAACATAAAAAAAATGGAGAAATAATGAATAAATGAATGAAATTATACATTAATTATATCGATTAATAATGTATAATTTTTTAAATAGTGTTATATATCTACTTAAAATATATTGTGTTAATTAAATTTAAAAAAAAATTAAAAAATTAATTATATTATTGTTTATTAATTAATTATACATTATCGTTAAAAATAAACACAGAAATAAGAGTGTCTCTAATATTCTATCTGTAACTTAGCATGGAGTTTATGTACAATGTTGTTATAAAAAAAAATAGCTGCGAGGTGTGTGTATCCGACTCGCGTCCCTAAGGTCCATGGTTCGATTCCTCGTAGGCACGAGATTTTTAATTTCTAGTTTCAAAGTATTTCGTGTACAACTTAATAATTAATATTATTAATAACTTAATTAATATCATTAATAATTAAATTAATAGTAATAATGGTTAAATTAATAGTATTAATAATTAAATTAATATTATTAATAATTAATAATTAATCTAAATTGAAATACAGATTATTAATAAAATAAAGCGAGTTTAAATAAAAAATAATAACCTTTGGAATAAAAATAAAACCTTTAGTCCCCATCACCAAAAACCTGAGAAAATATAGTAAATAAATATAATACAATAAGTAGATAGAATTATAGTTTTATATACAATTTCTAAATATCTAAAACCGTTCAATTAGTTAATTATTAATTAATTTTTATTAATTCAATTAATTCAACAGTTTTAACATAAAACCATATTGGCGTTTTTACCCCACTCTACTCTACAATTTGGATGAATAAGAAAGAAAAGTTACTTTCATTTAATAATTTATATTTATTAAAAGATTTTTTTTGACAAAATATTGTCGAAAGTGTGAAATTTTCTTAAATATAATGTATGACACGCTCCCGAGAAACGTACCTAAAAAATGAAAAATTTTAGGTTATGTTTATAATTTTTGAAGTAAAAATACGAAAAGAGAATCAATTATTATTAAAAATGATTGAACTTCCAGTTTTCGTTACATCTAAAATATTATGTAAGAACTAATTTCAAATTTAAATAATTAAAAAGGAACTTTTAAACAACAAAAATCTAATACAAACATAACCTCCCACACAGCAGCGAAACTTTCTTAAAAATTAACTTGCTCCGAAGTTTGCAACTAAATCTTTAATAAATTTTCAAAAAAGTTTCGATGCTGTAATATGTTTTCTTTCTACTTTTCTTATGAGCATGTCACAAACATTTCCCTCGAAATAATAATTTCTATATTATTTATGCCACATTAACCATTCTCAACTACTGTATTATAACATTTCTGAATATGACACTTCAAGTTACGTTGGGTTCCAAAAATTTTATTACACTTTTCGCACTTGTGTATTATGCCACAATCATAAAATCTGTGTCTGTTCAAACTTTTAATTTGTTTAAAATTACTGCCACACTGATCGCAAAAATATAGAGAGTGCAACAAGCTTTGTTCCAAATTATCATTTCGACTGCACGTTTTTTCGTGAATTGTTTTTTTAAATTTCTTTCCAAACATCTGATTGCAATAGCGGCAGAAGTAGATGTTTCCACTGTCATTAACTCTTCTTCTTCTTTTTGGTAGCATTTGTTCAATTCTTCTCACTGCTAGATGCGGCACTTCGCCCATAATCCATGTTTCGTCTGTAACATAACGTTGAAAGAAACAAAATTACAACGAATGATATAAATTTATCGATTGTTGGGTAAGATAAAAAAAATTAAAGAGCATAATCATACTATTTTTATGGTAATACCCAAACTATCAGGAATTTTTGTTTGTATCAAATTTTTTTTATTAAAATTGCTGGTAATGCTGTCACAGTGGCAACAATGTTCTGCCATCTGTAACACACAAAAATGAAGATACAAATTAATGTCGAATCATAATTTTGGTAATGACAACCAAACCAATTGATAACTGTAAAACAATAGATAACTGAAAAACAAAAATAATTGGTAAATAGAAAACAAATTTTCATTGAAATAAGAATTTACATTTATGAATTACATTTGGCATTATCAACCATTCTTGTCCTTTGCAGTACGACACTTCCGAACATGCAAATTCAAGGTACGTAGTGTTCCAAAAATTTTGCCACACTTTTTGCACTGGTGCGTTTTGCCACAATCATGAAGCATGTGTCTCTTTAAACTTCTTTCCTGTTTAAATTGACTGCCACATTGGTCGCAATAAAATTGAGACTGTAACATGTCCTTTTTGATTCTTCCATTACGACTGCAGGTTTTTTCATGAACTGTTCTCTTAAATTTTTGTCCAAACTTCTGACTACAATAGCGGCACAAAAAGATGTCTACACTGTCACTAGCTTTTTCTGATCGTAGTAGTTGTTCAACATTTTTCACTTTCAAAAGCGCCTCTTCGATTGTAATCCACGTTTCGTCTGTAACATAAAATTAAGGAAATAAAATTACAACGAATGTTGATAAATGGAGTATATAAATAAATTTCTATTTATTTATAAATAAAAAAAATAAATAAAATCAATGATCATAAATGAAATTTGTCGTTGATCATAAATGTAATCAAAAATGCATTTTAATTAATGTAGTTGATATGATTTAATTGATTGTAGATAAAGGTTGGTTGGATGGTTGCTATCCGTTTAGAGCTTTTCCAAGGATGTGAAATTGAGACAAAAAAAAAAGAATCAAAAGTGATACAGAACAACACTTTTGATTCTTTTTGTCTCAATTTGATCAGCCTTAATTTTAAACGAATCAAAAGTGTTGCGAGCAATGCTTTGATTCGTTTTCTGTCTCCATTTGATATCCTTAGAGAAAAGCTGTGTTTTTTGAAAAAAATTGTTCGATGGTTCTTTATACTCCTAATATTTATTTCTATCAGCATTTTTTGTACAATTTGATTTTTAGGAAAGAATAGAAAAGTTGTCGTTCTTTAACAATTTACAATTACTAAAAAGGTTTTCCACCAGAAAATTTGGTTCGAAAGTACCTACCATCTTCTTAAGTAAAACAACAGTTTCCTAAAATAATAATAATAATTTACACTATTTACACCTTTTTGCTACTGCATTTTCGACATTTCCGAACAGCATAACTGAAGGTAATGCTCGAGACGTAATGTTAAAAAAACATTAAATTTTTAGCACTTGTGAGTCATGCCACGACATATCACACGAATTTTTAAAAAGAACTGCCTCATTGGTTGAAAACTCTTCTAACTAAATTTCACCTCGCCGCTACAAATATGATTATTCAAACCAAATATTGTGCCAAAATATGTATGACAATTCTCGCACTTGTGCGTTATGCCGCAATCATTAAATTTATGTCTCTTTAAACTTCTGTCGTGCTTAAAATTACTGCCACAATTGTCACAACAAAATCTACCGCGTAATCGAGTTTTATCAATTTTTCGATTCCGACTGCAATTTTTTTCGTGAATGTTCAATCTGCTTTGTTTTCCAAACTTCTGACTACAAAAACGGCATAAATAGACATTCACACATTCCTTTACATCTTCTGTTGTTTGTAGCTGTTGAATTCTTTTTACTTTTAGAAGCGGCATTAGTTTTATATCCACCTTTTCATCTGTAACATAAAACAATGTGATGTAATGTAATATAAATAGTACAAATTTAATTAAAATTCGAGTTATTTTGATTATTAATCTTCCGTTCACACTCTTATACTTTAGACTATTAATGACTGTTTTATATTAAGTTGGAAAAATCGTTCAATTAAAAATTGGTTTATTTTATGATGTACAGAAATACAGAACAAGTTACAATTGTGTTATTGGTATTAAAATACTAATATTAGTATTAATATAAATTTTTTTATACAAGAAATAGTTCTTTTCAAATGCAAACAGTAATATGATAAATAGTAAAAAAAAATGGAAATTTACTATTAATTAATTATCAAGAAAATTATTCTACTACATTCCACTAGAAATAAAGGAATCGAAAACTTAATTTAATAATTAATAACTATCTAAATTATATTCTTTAAAGAGTTTCGTCGCTTATCGATGACGATTGTCACATTCATCTTTCGGATGATGTCTATGCAGACTGCCTAATGTTCCAAAAATTTTACCACACGTTTTTCACAATAATTACAATCGTTTTACACGTTTTTGTCACAATCATTATTTGTATGTTGTATTAAAGGCTTCTTTCGATTAAAATTACTACCACAATTGGAAGTGCTTCACATTTATTTATTTTCTATTAAAAAAATAGTAGAAAGGAAAAAAAAGTAGTGAGGCAGGGGAAAAAAGAAACGCGCAGGCGCGTTAGCGGTTGCGCGGTTCTTTTTTCTCCTGCGTCACTACTTTTTTTCCCCTTTCAATTGGTAAAAAATAACGCGCTTATTCGAAATACTTGTTAAGAAAACAAAAAAGCTTCTAGCTTGAAGGCCTGAAATTAAATGCTTAAGTTTAAATTATTTTTCCATTGGAAAAAACACTTTTAAAGCACTTTAAATAATAGCGGTTTTTTCGACCAATGAAAAAAAGAGTGGCGCAGGCGCCGACGCGCATAAAAAAACAAAGACAACAGAGGGGACGTTACGTTACGTACACTATTGACATTGATAGTTTCGAATATGTTTCCTCTTGCCAAGTATTGTTCCAAAAATTTTATTACACTTCTCGCACTTGTGTATTACACCGCAATCCTTATTTGTGTGTGTTACTAAAGTTTCTCTTCGATTAAAGTGACAACCACAATTTTTGCAACAAAACCTGTTACGTAAGAAGTTTATACTAATTTTTTCATTGCGACTGCAGTTTCCTTCGTGAATTGTTCTCTTGTATTTCTTGACAAACTTCAAATTACAATAGCGGCATAAAAAGAAGTCTCCACTCTTGTTTTCATCTTCCAATGTGTTTAGCAGTTCTATTCTTCTCACAGTAAGTTGCGGCATTTTTGTCGTTATCACCGTCCCATCTGTAACATAAAATGAAAACAAAAATTAACATCGAATAAAAATTTTCTCTTTAGTAAATGTTGATAAATTTAAGCATAAATAGTAATCAAATAAATGACGAACAAAAAGGTTAAGTAGATAAATGTAACAACTAAATGTAATGGATAAATGTAGCAAATAAATGTCAGACAACATTAATTCAATTCATTAAATTATTTGTTTTTTTGAAAGTACCAAATTGACACTAAAGTGGATCTAGTTTAAGACAATAGTTTAGATCCAACGAACTGATAGCAAAAATGTAGTTCAAATTATAATTTTTTTTTTTTTAACCATAAATTGATTGCAATTTATGGCACCAATTTGATTGACGTAATCACTTTTTTATAAATGTTATAATGCAATGGAATTAGCTCCTCGAGTCTTTTTACTTTTAGAATTGACAATTCTGCGTTCATTAATGTCTCATCTGTAACAAAAAAAAAACAAAAAAAAAAAAAAAAAATTGCTGAAAAAGTAATTTTGTGGAAGATACGATTTTTTGCATTTACATGAAAAGGGAAAGGTTGCAAAAATAAGCATAGAGGTAAAAGGGACAAAATCGTAGAAAATTGTAACTATACTGTAAGTAAATTCGAGGGGACGTTACGTTACGTTACGTACACTATTGACATTGATAGTTTCGAATATGTTTCTTCAAGCTAAGTATTGTTCCGAAAATTTTATTACACTTCTCGCACTTGTGTATTACACCGCAATTCTTATTTGTGTGTTGAATTAAATTATCTCTTCGATTAAAGTGACAACCACAATTGTTGCAACAAAACCTATCACGTAAGATGGTTTTATTAATTTTTTCATTGCGACTGCAGTTTCCTTCGTGAATTGCTCTCTTGTATTTCATGACAAACTTTAAATTACAATAGCGGCATAAAAAGAAGTCTCCACTCTTGTTTTCATCTTCCAATGTGTTTAGCTGTTCTATTCTTCTTACAGTAAGTTGCGGCATATTTGTCGTTATCACCGTTCCATCTGTAACATAAAAAAAAACACAAAATTACATCGAATAAAAATTTTCTCTTTTGTAATTGTTGATAAATATAAGCATCAATAGTAAACAAATAAATAACGAACAAAAAAGTTGAGTAGATAAATGTAACAAATAAATGTAACAGATAAATGTAGCAAATACAATTTGGAATGTCAGACAACATTAATTCAATTCATTAAATTATTTGTTTTGTTGAAAGTACCAAATTGACACTAAAGTGAATCTAGTTATTGTCAAAAGTTTAGATCCAACGAACTGATAGCAAAATGTAGATCAAATTATAATTTTTTATTTAAACCATAAATTGATTGCAATTTATGGCATCAATTTGATTCACGTAATCACTTTCGTATAAATAATGTTATAATGCAATGCAAATCCATCAAAAAGAACGCAATAAAAATTTAAAAAAATATATTTCCTTTCCCTAAACAATTTTCAAACTACAACAAAGTGTATTTAAACAAAAAAATAATAATATCATTTAGAAAAATAACGGTGTCTTAAGATATTTTAAAACTAAAGAAAAGAAACACAAAATTTTCATTATTGTAATAGAATTTACACTTTGAATATAGTAATTTTCTTTGGTAAAAAGTAGTGACTTTTTAACAATTTTCACTGTACTTTTTGCAACAGCAGACGACAGCCATTTATATAACCGGCGATTCCAGATTTCTGTATAACAACATTATAAACGATTTGCTGTTAATTGAAGACATAACGACAATTTATAAAACAATATACATTAATATAAAAATAAAAGTAATTTTCATTTAACAACTTTAAAAATTATTAAACGATTTTTAATGGCGAAATTTAGCCACAAATTTCTTTGAAATAATAATTTTCATTTATGCCATCGAACACTTAATATAGTGTTTCTCGTGTTTTTGCATATGGACATTTAATATTCATTTATGCTACATTAAATATTTTATAAAAAATAATATCATTTGGAAAAATAACGATGTCTTAAGACACTTTAAAACTAAAGAAAAAAATACGATTTTCATTATTGTAATAAAATCTACACTTTCAATATAGTAATTTTCTTTGGTAAAAAATAGTATCTTTTTCACTGTACTTTTGAGCAATAGCAGACAACAGTTATTTAAATAACTAATATATGATTCCACGTTTCAGTATCACAACAATATAAACACGAAGTAATTTTAGACTAGTTGCTGTTAATTAAAAACATAACTGCAATTTTTAAAATAATATGCATTAATAATAATAAAAAAATAAAAAATAAAATAAAAAAAATAAAATTTTCATTTAATAATTTATCATTATCAAACTGCTTTTCAAGGCCAAATTTTTCCATAAGACCCATTTATATCATAAATTGTCATTTATGCAATCGAGTACTAGTGGTATTTCTTTAGTGGTGTTTTTCAATATGATACTTTAAAATACGTGGATTTGCAAAAATTTTGTTACATATTTTGCACTTTTCTGGTTTGTTATCACAATAGAATTTTTTGTGGGTGTATAAATTGCATTTATGTTTATAGCTACAATCACAGTTGTTACAACAAAATCTACCACGTAACATTCTCTTCTTCATTTTTCGATAGCGAGTGCAGATTTTTTCATGGTTATTCTTTCTACTTTTATCTTCAAACTTTCGATTACAAAAGCGGCATAAATGGATGTTCTTATTGTCACTATCTTCTTTTAATGGAGTTGGATGTTCAATTCTTTGTATTTTTAGAACTGGCATTTCATTGGTGATCTCTTTCTCATCTGTAACATAAAAAAAAGAAAAAAATATATATATATCTGTGAATAATAGCATTGTCTGGTCATCTACAAATTGTTAATTACAGATTTATGTTATCAGAAATTAAATTTATATTTAAATTTATATTTAAATTTCGTAGGTTTGCATAAATTTTTCTACCTTTTTTGCACTTGGGTGTGTTGCAACAATTTGATTTTTCATGGGCGTCTAAAGCCTGTTTTTGTTTGAAGCTGCTGCCACAATTGTCACAACAAAATCGGTCGCGTAATATGCTTTCGTCAATCATTGGATTGCGAGTGCAGAATTTTTCATGTTGGTCCTTTCTAGCTTTAACATTAAACTTTCGATTACAAAAGCGGCATAAATGGATGTTTATATTGTCATTAACTTCTTTTAATGGAGTTGGATGTTGAATTCTTTTTACTTTTAGAAGCGGCCTTTTATTGATGATGTCTTTTTTAACTGTAAAATAAAAAGAAAAAAATATATATAATAATATATATATAAATGCATTGTCTGGTTATCTACAAATTGTTGATTACAGATTTATGTTATCAAGTACTATATTAACCCCTTTGCTGCTTGGAAAAATATTCATTTTAGTGCCCCAAAATTTTCATCAAAATCTTTTAAATTGTTATATTACTTAAAAATAATAAACAATTATTTATTTATTACTTTTTCTTGTATCATTGATACCTATAGTATGTGAATAATGATATAAAAGAATTTATTTTATAATTTAAATAACAAATTTCTATTTTTTGCTAAAACTTTCACGACCCAACGTTGGGTTGGAAACAGTCTGGGCCATCTTTTTCCACGACCCAACGTTGGGTCGCAAACAGGCAATGGGTTAAAAGCGATTTTTATGTATGAAGTTTTAAGTTTCGTAGGTTTGCATAAATTTTTTTACCTTCTTTGCACTTGGGTGCGTTGCAACAATTTGATTTTTCATGGGCGTATAAAGTACGTTTATGTTCAAAGCTACTGCCACACTTGTCACAACAAAATCTGTCGCGTAATATGCTTTCGTCAATCATTGGATTGCAAGTGCAGAATCTTTCATGTTTATTCTTTCCAGCTTTTTGTCCAAACTTTCGATTACAAAAGCGGCATAAATGGATTTTTATATTGTCATTAACTTCTTTTAATGGAGTTGGATGTTCAATTCTTGTTACGTCTGGAAGCGGTCTTTTTTGGGTGACATCTTTTTCAACTGCAACATAAAAAGAAGAAAAAAATATATATCGATGAATAATAGCATTGTCTGGTCATCTATAAATTGTTGATTACAGATTTATGTTATGAAGAATTATTACCCGTGTAGAAATTGCCATGTTATAGCCTACAGAATGATCAAAAGATCTGGCCCCGATTAGGGCCATGGTTAAATTTCTACATGGGGAAAAGTGATTATTTAAATATGAAGTTTTAAGTTTCGTAGGTTTGCATAAATTTATTTTACCTTTTTTGCACTCGTAGGTTTTGCAACAGTTGGATGTTTCATGAGCGTATAAAGTGCTTTCTCGTTTGAAGCTGCTGCCACAATTGTCACAACAATATCTGTCACGTAATATCATTTTGTTCATCATTCGATTGCGAGAGCAGATTTTTTCATGTTCATTCTTTCTAGGCTTTTGTCCAAACTTTCGATTACAATAGCAGCAGACATAGATGTTTACATTTTTATTTACACTATCAATTGGAGAAAGATATTCAATTCTTTTAACAGTTAGAACAGGCATTTTTTTTGTCGTCCGGGATGATTTATCTGTAAAATAAAAAGATGAAATACAAGATATAAATAAATAATAAATAATAATAATAAATATAAGATTTTATACGTGAAATTATTGACAGACACATTTTATGTAAAGTTGATGATAATAAAAAAGAAAACAGGTCACAAAATGGAAAAAACAAAATACGAACAGAAACACATAAATGTAATTAGACTAAATAGCAGACAACAATAATTCAATTCATTAAATTATTTTGTTTTCTTGAAAGTATCAAATTGATGCCAAAAATTTAGATAAATTTTTTAATTGATCCAACGATAACTGATAGCAAAAATGTAGATCAAATCATAAATTCATCACAATTTATGGTATCAATTTGATTCACGTAATCACTTTCGTCTAAATGTTATAATGCAATGCAATTGCATCAAAAAGAACGCAATAAAAATTTTAAAAAATATATTCTCTTTCGATAAACAATTTTCAAACTACAACAAAGTGTATTTAAATAAAAAATAATATCTTTGGGAAAAATAACATTGTCTTAAGATATTTGAAAACTAAAGAAAAAAAATACAATTTTCATTATTGTAATAAAATTTACACTTTGAATATAGTTATGTTCTTTGGTCAAAAGTATTAACTTTTAAACAATTGTCACTGTACTTTTTGCAACAGCAGGCAACAGTGATTCCAGTTTTGATTCCAGATTTCTGTATCACAACATTATAAACGATTTGATGTTAATTGAAGGCATAACGACAATTTATAGATCAATATACATTAATATAAAAATAAAAGTTATTTTCATTTAACAACTTAAAAAATTATTAAACGATTTTTCATGGCGAAATTCAGCCACAAATTTCTTTGAAATAATAATTTTCATTTATGCCATCGAACACTTAATATAGTGTTTCTCGTGTTTTTGCATATGGACATTTAATATTCATTTATACTACATTAAATATTTTATAAAAATAACATCATTTGGAAAAATAACGATGTCTTAAGATACTTTAAAACTAAAGAAAAAAAAAATTCGATTTTCATTATTGTAATAAAATGTACACTTTCAATATAGAAATTTTCTTTGGTAAAAAATAGTATCTTTTTCACTGTACTTTTGAGCAATAGCAGACAACAGTTATTTAAATAACTAATATATGATTCCACGTTTCAGTATCACAACAATATAAACACGAAGTAATTTTAGACTAGTTGCTGTTAATTAAAAACATAACTGCAATTTTTAGAATAATAAGCATTAATAATAATAATAATAAAAATAAAAATAAAACTTTCATTTAATAATTTATCATTATCAAACTGCTTTTCAAGGTCAAATTTTACCATAAGACCTATTTATAGCATAAATTGTCATTTATGCAATCGAGTACTAGTGGTATTTCTTTAGTGGTCTTTGTTAATATGATACTTTAAAATACGTAGATTTGCAAAAATTTTGTTACATATTTTGCACTTTTCTGGTTCGTTATCACAATAGGATTTCATGTGGGTGTATAAATTGCATTCATGTTTATAGCTACGATCACAGTTGACACAACAAAATCTACCACGTAACACTATTTTCTTCGTTTTTCGATAGCAAGTGCAGATTTTTTCATGTTTATTTTTTCTACTTTTATCTTCAAATTTTCGATTACAAAGGCGGCATAAATAGATGTTCGTATTGTCATTATCTTCTTTTATTGGAGTTGGATGTTCAATTTTTTCTGCTTTTAAAACTGGCACTTCACTGGTGATCTCTTTCTGATCTGTAACATGAAAAGATGAAAAAAAATATATATCGATGAATAATAGCATTGTCTGGTCATCTACAAATAGTTTATTTATTTATTTTTACAAATAATAAAATTCTACTCCGAAATTCAATTTTTTCAGAAATAATAAAATTCTTCGCAAAAATTCAATTATTAAAAAAATTTTTTTTTAAATTCTCCTCACAATTCCAATTACTTTTATAAATAATAAAATTCTTCTCTGAAATTTTATTATTTCTAAAGAATTTTAATAAAATTCTTGTCCAAATTTCAATTATCTTTATAAATAATAAAATACATCCTAGAAATTCAATTATTTTTAAAAGTAATAAAATTCTTTGCAGAAATTCAATTATTTCCAAATTTCTTTTTAAATTTCTAGTCAAAATTATCATTATCTTCATAAATCATAAAATTCATCATGAAAATTTAATTATTTTCAAAAGTTCTGATAAAATTCTTTGTAAAAATTCAATTATCTACAAAAGTTAGAAAATTCTTAGCAGAAATTCAATAATAAAATTCTCCTCTAAAATTTAATTATTTGTAAAAATTTTACTAAAATTCTTGTCAAAATTTCAATTATCTTTATAAATAATAAAATTCATCCTAGAAATTCAATTATTTTCATTTTTTTTTTTAAATTTCTCGTCAAAATTTTATATAAATAATAAAATTCATCACGAAAATTTAATTATTTTCAAAAGTTCTGATAAAATTCTTTGCAAAATTCAATACTCTTCAAAAGTTAGAAAATTCTTAGCAGAAATTCAATTATTTTCAAAATTTTTTTTTTAATTTCTCCTCAAAATTTCAATTATTTTCAAAAATATCAAAATTTTTCTTCAAATTTCAATTAGTTTTAAACATTTTTAAAAAAATCTGTTCTAAATTTCAATTATCTTTATAAATAGTAAAATTCTTCTCTGAAATTTAATTATTTGTAAAAATTTTAATAAAATTCTTGTCAAAATTTCAATTATCTTTATGAATAAAAAAATTCCTACTGGAAATTCAATTATTTCATTTTTTTAATAAATTTCTTCTCAATAATTCAATTATTTTCATAAAAAATAATTAAATCATTTTCATAAACAATAATTAAAAAATTAATTTATTTATAGTCTTATAATATAAAATAATGATTTTATCACTCGGTCATCATTAATTATTATGAAACATGAAGACATCGATTGCTCCGAGTCGAAGACTCGGAGTTATTAATTTCTTCATGTTTTATAACAATTTTTTACAAGATATTTAATTTCAAAAAGTTTTGAATTTGAATCTTTTGAAGAATTTTAATTCCTAAGGAAAAATAATAATTAAATATTTATTTAAAAAAGAAGTTATTGATGTTTTCGAAAAATTTAAAAGAAATTTGTAAATAAATGTAACAGAACAATTTATTTTTGACTAAAACTTTTCCCTTTAATTTTCTAAAAAAAATTTAAATTTCAGTCGCATTTACTAAAGAAAAAAAATCTCGAAAAAGTCGATTAGTCGCATTTTTTCACAAAAAAGTCGAAAAAAGTTGAAAAAGTCGCACAATCCGAGCCCTGCATAAATTTTGTTACCTTTATTGCACTTGGCTGTGTTGCAGCAATTTGATTTTTTATGGGCGTCTAAAGTCTGTTTTTGTTTATAACTGCTGCCACAGTTGTCACAACAAAATTTGTCGCGAAATATGCTTTTGTCAATCGTTGGATTGCGAGTGCAGATATTTACATGTCGGTCCATTCTATGTTTAACTTTAAACTCTCGATTACAAAAGTGGCACAAATGGATGTTCGTACTGTCATTATCTTCTTTTAATGGAGTTGGATGTTCAATTTTTTTTGTTTTTGGAACTGGCATTTCATTAATGATCTCTTTCTCATCTGTAACATAAAAAGAGGAAAAAAAATATATATCGATGAATAATAGCATTGTCTGGTCATCTACAAATTGTTAATTACAGATTTATGTTATCAGAAATTAAATTTATATTTAAATTTATATTTAAATTTCGTAGGTTTGCATGAATTTTTTTACCTTTTTTGCACTTGGGTGTGTTGCAGCAATTTGATTTTTCATGGGCGTCTAAAGCCTGTTTTTGTTTGAAGCTGCTACCACAGTTGTCACAACAAAATCTGTCGCGAAATATGCTTTTGTCAATCGTTGGATTGCGAGTGCAGAATTTTTCATGTTGGTCCTTTCTAGCTTTAACATTAAACTTTCGATTACAAAAGCGGCATAAATGGATTTTTATATTGTCATTATCTTCTTTCAATGGAGTTGGATTTTCAAATCCTTTTGTTTTTAAAACTGGCATTTCATTGGCGATCTCTTTCTCATCTTTAACATAAAAAGAAGAAAAAAATATATATAATAGCATTGTCTGGTCATCTATAAATTGTTGATTGCAGATTTATGTTATCAAGTGCTATATTAAAAGCGATTGTTATGTATGAAGTTTTAAGTTTCGTAGGTTTGCATAAATTTTTTTTTACCTTTTTTGCACTCGTAGATTTTGCAGCAATTGGATGTTATATGCATGGTTAAACTATATTTATCTTTAAAGCTACTGCCGCAGTTGTCGCAAAAAAATCTGTCACATAATATCCTTTTGTTCAACACCATATTGCGACTGCAGATTTTTTCATGTTCCTTCTTATTATGTTCTAGTCCAAACTTTTTATTACAATAGCAGCAGACATAGATGTTCACACTTTTATTTACACCATCAATTGTAGAAAGATATTCAATTCTTTTAACAGTTAGAACAGGCAGTTTTTTTGTTTTCCGGGATGACTTATCTGTAAAATAAAAAGATGAAAAAGTTATATGTATTTTATGTTATACGTGAAATTATTGAGATACATTTTATGTAAAGTTGATGTTAAAAAAAAAGAAGACAGGTCACAAAATGGAAAAAAACAAAATAGGAACAGAAGCACATAAGAGTAATGGATAAATGTAATTAGAATAAATGTCAGACAACAATAATTCAATTCATTAAATTATTTGTTTTCTTGAAAGTATCAAATTGATGCCAAAAATTTAGATAAATTTTTTAATTGATCCAACGATAACTGATAGCAAAAATGTAGATCAAATCATAAATTCATCACAATTTATGGTATCAATTTGATTCACGTAATCACTTTCGTCTAAATGTTATAATGCAATGCAATTGCATCAAAAAGAACGCAATAAAAATTTTAAAAAATATATTCTCTTTCGATAAACAATTTTCAAACTACAACAAAGTGTATTTAAACAAAAAATAATATCTTTGGGAAAAATAACATTGTCTTAAGATATTTTAAAACTAAAGAAAAAAAAATACAATTTTCATTATTGTAATAAAATTTACACTTTGAATATAGTTATGTTCTTTGGTCAAAAGTAGAATTTTTCGAAGAATTCACTGTACTTTTGGCAACAATCAAATATATGTATAAACCTACAATTCAAGGTTTTTGTATTATTATCGATGTGAACACGCAGTTATTTTAATCGAGTTGCTGCTAATTAAAGAAATAACAACAATTTTTAGAAAAATATGCATTAATAACATTTAAAATAAGAGTTACATTCATTTAATAATTTATAATTATCAAACGGTGTTTTTCATGGCGAAATTCTGAAATTTTCGACAAAAGTTTCATTGAAATAATTTTCATTTCTCCTAACAAAATAAAAGTGTTGAAAACATTTAGATATTTTTTTTCCAAACACAATTTTTCAACTACAATGATTAATGGATTTTTTAAAAAAATAATATCATTCGAATAAATAACCAAGTTCGAAGCTTTTCTCATGATCTCCTTCAATATGTCTATTTAAAGAACTTAGGTCTCCATAAATTTTGTTACATTTTTCGCACTTGTGTATTTTGACACAATTGTTTTTTATATGCCTGTGTAAACTACCGATATGTTTAAAGCTACTGCCACAGTTTTTACAACAAAATCTATTGCTTAATATGCTTTTGTTAATTCTTCCATTGCGAGTGCAGATTTTTTCATGTCGTATTTTTTGAAATTCATTCGCATACTTCTGCTCACAAAAACGGCAAAAGTAGAAATTTGAATTCGCATTTCTTTTTAAAATTGGCATTTTTCTGATAATCACTCTTTCATCTGAAACATAAAAATGAAGGAAAAAAATATGAAACAATAATTTTTGGAGGCGCATGATTATTTCCCAAATGTCATTTGACCGAACTGTCATATTACCAAACAGTTCGAATAAATGCAATTCGGTAAAATGACAGTTCGGTCAAATGACTTTTGGGGAGTAATCATGCGCCTCTAATTTTTGCATCTATTTGTTGTCAGTAATTAAAAAAAAGAAATTAGTCAAATTTTTACGGATGTAAATATAGAAAAATCATAAAATAACATTTCCTTGGATATAAATATTTAAGCTACTTAGGTTTGTATTTTTGTTACCTTTTTTGAACTTGGATGTGTTGCCACAATTAGATGCTGAATGGGTGTATAAACTGCTTTTTAGTTTGAAGCTGCTGCCACAATTTTTACAACAAAATCTGTCGCTTAATATGCTTTCGTCAATCATTGGATTACGAGTGCAGGTTTTCTCATGTTGTTTCCTTCTACGTCCTAATTCGAAATTTCGATTACAAAAGCGGCATGAATAGATGTCTATATTTTCATTAACTTCTTGTAATGAATTTAGATATTCAATACTTTTTACTGTTAGAACTGGCATTTGTTTCGAGATCTTCTCTTTAACTGTAACATAAAAGTGAAGGAGAAATTTATATATCTATGAATGATAACTTTGTCTAGTCATTTGTAATTGTTGATAAATAAACAAAATTTAAAGAAAAAGTACAATATTAATGTAATCCGATATAAATATATCAAATGATTTTATGTATAATCGTGCCAATTTGATATTAAAAATAATGTGCATAAAAAATAACGAAATAAAATTTGTTGAAAATATTTCTATATTTTTTTCGATAAACAATTTTTCATCTACAATAAAGTGTATTTAAACAAAAAATAATATCATTCGAGACAAAAGTGACAGTCGTCATTGAAATGCTCCAAGAAACAAAAGAAAAGATAAAGAAAATTGTGAATATTTTACAACAAAATTTAAATATAAAGTATACAAACTTCAATATAAAGTATACAAAATAATTAATAAGACAACAAAAAAATCAATTAACTTAGTGAATAAATTTAATAATTCTCAATTTTTAAACACCTTTTCTCTGGCTTTTCCGACATTTTCGAACATGTTTATTTAGGGCACGTAATGTTACATAAACACTTTGACATATTTTGCACTTGTGTGATATGCCACAATCATAAAATTCATGATTCCTTAAACTATATTTGTGTTTAAAATTACTGCCACAATTGTTGCAAAGAAATCTGGAACCCAATATTTTGTTTTTAATTTTTCGATTGTGACTGCAGTTATTCTCATGACGTGTTTGGTTATTTTTTTTGCCAATATTCTTATTACAATAGCGGCACAAATTGATGTTTACATTGTCATCAAGCTTTTTCAATGGAGTTAGATATTCAATTCTTTTTACTTTTAGAAGCGGCATTTTTTTGGTGATGTCTTTTTCAACTGTAACATAAAAATAAAGAAAAAATATATATCCATGTATAGTAGCTTAACAAAAATCATCATCAAAAATCATCATCAATAAATCATCTGAAATTGTTATAATAAATAAAAAAATACAAATAAACTAATAAATACAATATTAACAAAACAAATTATAATTTTGTCAAATATCAAATTTGGTGAATAATAACGAAATAAAATTGTTGAAAAAATTTCTATATATTTTTCAATAAACAATTTTTCATCTACAATAAAGTGTATTTTAACAAAACATATAATATGATTAAAGACAAAAGTTCGATATATACGAAGTGATTTTTAATTGAGTTGCTGTTAATTTAACACAATAATATGCATTAAGAATAATAATAATAAAAGTTACTTTCAGTTAATAATTTATAAATTTTATAATTAATAAACGGTTTTTAAATTCCGATATTCTGTGGAAACTTCGAAAGTTTCTTTGAAATAATAATTACAATTTATCCTAAGTTATAGAAAATAATAATCATTGTAATAAATAATCAAGTTTAAAGCTTCTCTCAATGTTTTTTAATATGTTGCTTTAAACTACTTAGGCTTGCAAAAATTTTGTTACATTTTTCGCACTTGTGTGATTTGCCACAATCGAAATTTATATGGGTGTTTAATCTGAATTTATGTTTATAGCTGCTGCCGCACTTATCACAACAAAATCTATCAAGTAATATGCTTTCGTCAATCATTGGATTATGAGTGCAGACTTTTTCATGTTTTCTCTTTTTACTATCATCTCCAAACTTTCGATTACAAAAGCGGCATAAATGAATGTTGTCATGAACTTCTTGTAATGAAGTTAGATGTTCAAATCTTTTTATTTCTAGAAACGGCCATTTATTGGTGATGTCTTTTTCAACTGTAACATAAAAGGAAGAAAAAATGTATATTAATGCTTTGTCTGATCATCTGAAATTGTTGATAAATATAAAAAATATAAATACCTAAACGAAATAAATCGAATTGATAAATACAACATTAAATGTAATTCAACATTAAAAAAATGTTAACATTAAAAACATTAATGTTGTTAACATTCAACATTAAAAAAATTAATTCCTTTCCAAAAAAGGAATTATGATTTTATGTACAATTGCCAAATATCGAATTATGTGAAATTTGGTAAATTTTGAATTTTTGCAAAGTTAGTTGGGTGAGAGGATAAAAAATTACGAAATATAATTATTGAAAATATTTCTATATATTTTTTTCGATAAACACTTTTCCATCTACAATAAACAAAACAATAAAAGGAACAGTCGGGGTTGCCACGCTTTTGCTCATCTCAAATTCCCTGACATTCCCTGACTTTTCCAGATTAAAAAACGGAATCTTTCCAAGTTTTAAAACTACATTTATATGTAACAAAATTTAATAATTAGTGATTATAATTTTTCCATAAAAATTAAGAAAAAAAAATTTTTTTCTTAAATTTTTTTTAAAACATTTTAAATTCAAACATTTCTGAAATTAACCAATTTATAAAAAAATTGTTATAAAACAAGAAGAAATCGATCGGAGCAATCAATATCTTCATGTTTTATTTTATAATAATTAAAATCATTATTTTATATTATGAGAATATTGTTACTACAATTTCTTCAAAATTATTTTCATCATTTCAATTCAATTATTATTTTCAAGAATTTTTAACTAAAATTCTTCTTTAAATTAATCATTTTTAATAATTTTTGAAAAAATTTTTTTTGAAAATTTTCAAATTCTTTTGTTTGCAATTCAATTTTATGAAATTAAATAATTGGAATTAGTGACTGACTTTTTGCTTTTGAATTAGTAAATTTTACTATTAATTTAGTAGAAACGATTATTTATTAGTAAACCATATGCTAATTCAAAAGCAAAAAGTCCGTCACTAATTCAAATTAGAAAACATTTTTACTAATTCAAATTTAAAGAGTTGAATATTCAATTATTATCTAAAATATTAAATGAAATTCATTTTTATGAAATGAAAATCAATTTTTATTAGAAAATTCTACAGGAATTTCAATTATTTAAATACAAATAAAATGCAAATAAATAATTTATTGAAGAATTAAATGTTTATTAAAATTCAACTTTCATAAAGAATTTTATCAACAAATTTTTAAAACGGTATTTTAAATTCTTTTGATGAATTTTAATCACATTTTTAAGAATAATTTCATTGTTCGAGAAATAAAATTAAAATTGTATTAAAAATAATTGAATCACTGTAAAAAAATGTTATTGAATTTTATAATAAAAAAAATAATTGAAAAAATATTTTTTATATTTAAATAATATAAAAAATATTATTTAAAAATAAAATAATATTTTTAGAATAAATTGACTCCTTTTAAAAAATGTTATTATTTATGAAAATAATTGAATTTTTAAGAATTAAAAAAAATTTTTTTTAAAAATAATTAAATTTTTGAGAAGAATTTTATTATATTTATAATGATAATTGACATTTTGAGGAGAATTATTTTAAATTTTTGAAAATAATTGAATTTTGGAGAAAAATTGTATTATTTTTAAAAAATAATAGAAATTTTCAAGAGAATTTCAAAAACAAAGATTTTAAACATAATTGAAATTGAAATTTTTAAAGTTTTTTATTAAATTTTTTTTAAATAATTGAATTTTGGAGAAAAATTTCATTATTTTTAAAGATAATTAAAATTTTTAAGAGAATTTAAAAATATTTTTAAACATAATTGAAATTCTGCGAAGATTTTCATTATTTACAAAAATAATTGAATTTTAAAGAATTTTATTAAATTTTTTAAAAATAATTGAAATTTGGAGAAAAATTTCATTATTTTTAAAACTAATTGAAATTTTCACAAGAATTTTTAAAAATTTTTAAACATAATTGAAATTCTTCGAAGAATTTCATTATCTACAAAAATAATTGAATTTTAAGAATTTCAAAAAAATTGAATTTTTGAGAAGAATTTTATTATTTATAATAATAGTTGAAATTTTGACGAGAATTATTTTTAATTTTTGAAGATAATTGAATTTCTGTGAAGAATTTAATTACTTTTTAGGTAATTAAAAATTTTTTTCATAATTTTGTTCAATTTTTTGAAAATAATTGAATTTTGTAGAAAAATTTCATTATTTTTAAAGATAATTGAAATTTTCACGAGAATTTTTAAAAATTTTTTAACATAATTGAAATGTTGCGAAGAATTTCATTATATTTATATAAAAATAATTAAATTTCTGCAATCATTTGTAACTTCTCCAAATTTAAATCTAAATTTTGTTATTTTGAAGATAATTGAATTCTTGATAAGAATTTTGTTATAACTTTTGCAAATAATTGAATTCTTGGAATCATTATATTAAAATTTTTAAGAAGAATTGGTTTATCTTACGGAATTTTTTTTAGAACTTTTAAAAACAATTAAATTATTTCAAATAATTGAATTTTTGTAAAGAATTTTGTTATTTCTAAGTTAATTGATAGAATTAATTAAATTAATAAATAATTATGTTAATAATAATAATTATTTAATAATAATATTAATTATATTAATAAATTTATTATTATTATTATTATTATTATTATTATTAATAATAATTATGTTAATTGATAAGAAGTTTGTTACAAATTTTGCAAATAATTGAATTTTTGGAATAATTTTATTGAAATTTTTAAGAAGAATTGATATTTGTTTTGAAGACTTTTATTAAGTATTTATTTATTTATTTATTTTCCTTGGTGTGTTCTTTTAATATGTTTGTTTAATGTAGTTAGGGTTGCAAAAATTTTATTACATTTCTCGCATATGTGTGTTTTACCACAATCGTATTTTATATGTATGTTTAATTTGAATTTTTCTATGAAGCTATAACCACAATTGTCACAACAAAATCTGTTGCGTAATATTCTTCTGTCAATCATGGGATTGCGAGTGCAGATATTCTCGTGTTGAATTTTTGCATAAATTTTTGAAAAATTTTGATAACAAAAACTGCAGACAAAATATTCTTCATATCCTTCAAATTGTGATGATTCATCTGTAAAATAAAAAGATGAAAAAATAATATGTTATATTTGACTTTGTACGTAAATTATTTATGGACACAATTCATGTAAATTTTATGATACAATTAAATAGAAAACATCGCACAAAATGAGAAAAAACACAATGACAACATAAACATCACATTTACTAAACTGCATTTCGATTCGCTTTAAATTAAAAATAAAAATTAGGATGAAATTAACAATTTTTATTTGTGTTGATAAATAAAATAAGTAATTATAACAATGTTAACATAATGCATAAAATAAAAATATAATTCTATGTATGAGACGCTCCATTGTGAAGGGTACTTTATCTGGCACAAAATTTTAGGTTATGTTTATAATCGTTTCTACCTTGATTAATATTTTTTATATTTTGTAAAACGAGAAGCAATTCTTGTGGAATATTTTAGATTCTAAAGATTTAAATATCATTAGTTTGTCATGAAAGTTAATTTCTTTTTATGTTTTTTTTTTTACTTTAAGTTAAGAATCATAACCTTAAATTTTGTTCACCTAAAGTCATTTTCACAGTGGAGTGTCACAATTAATTATGCTGAATAACAAAATATGTATAGTCAAATTTTAATGGATGCAAAAAATAAACAAAAGCATAAGAAAATAAAGAAAAATTTGTAAATAATATATTTTGCACCAAATTATTTACAAACTACGTATTAAAGTACATTCTTACAAAAAAGAAATTATAATTCATATAATATATTAATATTTATAAATTATTAAAAATAAAATAAATAAATTATAATTTGGCAGAATAACAGTACATTATTTGTAGAGTAGTAAAAAATAAAGGAAAATAAACATAATTGGGATTATTAATAATAAATTTAACGCCCTGAGTACAAAAATTAATTTTTTTTTTAGTCAAAAGTAACATTTCTTTTGAGAAGATTTTCTGATCCTTTGACAATAGTCATTTTTAAATGACATTTTATACCTTTGGTTTAAATTAATAATTAAAAACTACTAAATTAAACTGTACTTTTTTGACGACCTTGTCTCTTTTTGGCTCTTTTGACAATGATCTATTCGAACGTGCCTTTTTAGGACCTCTAATGTTCAAAAAATTTTACTACACTGTTCGCAACTGTGCACTATGCCACAATCACTAGTTATATGTTTAATTAAACCGACTTCTCGATTAAAGTGAGAACCACAATTTTTGCAACAAAATCTAGAAAGTAACATGCTTTTTTCAACTTTTCCATTACGACTACACGTTTTTTCATGAAGTTTTTTTTTCAATTTTTGCGTAAAATTCTGATTACAAAAGCTGCAAAAAAAGATGTCAGCCATGTTAACATTGTTATTAATTTCATTAATTTCATTAATTTCTTCTAATGGAAATAGGCGTTGAATTCTCTTTACTTTTAGAAGTGGTAATTCTTTTATTACACATACTTTATCTGTAACATAAAAATAATGATGAATGAATAATTTTTATACGAAATTAGTAGGTAATAAAATCATAATCGGACGTCACAAGATTTAATACAATTTTTGTAGAATAATCTAATATATAAGAAAGTAGATAAGAAGCAAAGAATTTTTACGTTGTTTGTGTTATTTTTACCTTAAATTAACAATTCTTTTTTAATTTTGCTAAATTTTTTACTCCTACCTTTCTTCAAAGCGCGTCATATATAAAGAATGAAAAATGATATTAAATAATAACAAAATAAAAAATTGAAAATAATATATTTTTCTATAAACAAACTTCAGACAAAAACAAAGAGTACTTCTTACAAAAATATATTATCAGTTTGAAGAATTCAAGAATAACAAAAAATAAACATATTTATGAGTATTATATAATACATATATTATATACACCATTTCTTCTCATTATTTTTTTTGGTAATTACTTTTTTGGAAATTATTTTTGAAAAATAATATTTTCTTTGAAAATATTTTCAGTTCTTTTAACAATAGTATAATTTAAATGACCTTTTTTTATGGTTTAGGTTAAAGTGTCCCGACCTAACCTCTTTTTTAAGTAAAGTATTTACCGTATTTACAATAGAAAAAGAAACCAAAAAAATTACTTTTAACCAACAATTCATAATTTTCACACATTAACGAAGTAATTTCCTCAAAAGAAAATTTTTGTTAAATAAACTAACAAATTTCCTGCGATAAATAATAATTAAAATTTGTCCCTATTTAAGTTTTTCAACTCATTTTGGCTTCGGCACTTCGAAACATGAGCTCTTAGAGAACACAAAGTTGCGAAAATTTTCTCACATGTTTGGCACTTGTGGATTATGCCACAATCGTATTTTACATGTGTTTCTAAACTCCTCGCTTGTTTAAAAGTACTGCCACATTTGTGACAACAGAATCTGAAACGAAATTTATGTTTATTAATTTTTTCATTAAGAGTGCAATTACTCTCATGAGATTTTAAATGATAGAACGAAGAAGTCCGTTTACAAAAGCGACAAAAAATAATTTTCCCCTCTTTCTCAACTTCTTGTAATGGATTATTTAGATATGTAATTTTTCCTATTTTTAGAAGTGGCAATTTTTTTCTAGTTAATAGTTGCTCTGTAACATAAAATAATTTTCATATTAATTTATGTATAGTAGTGGTAATTTTTCACATATAATGGAGACACATTACTTTTCACAATTTATAAACACACATTGACATCTGAGACACTTCACTTTGAATTATATCTTAAGCGGAAAAAATTTTCTTTTTCGCATATTAAAATATTTAATAAGTTATTTGCGCTACGAAGAAAGGTATACCTAAGAAGGCTAAGAAGCAAACAATTTGAGGTTATGTTCGTGATTTTTTGAATAAAAAATACAAAATAAGGATCAACTCTATAGCATATAAACCACTGATGTTTAAATTTTATCACATTTGAAATAATTTATTAAAACTGATTTTAGTTTTACAGAATTAAACAGAGACTTTTAATTAAAATAAAAGTAACACAAACATAACCTTAAAATTATTTTTTTCTCAGGTCTCTTCCTTCAGAGAGCGTCACATATAAAGAATGAAAAATTATATTAAATAAAAACGAAATCAAAATTTGAAAATTTTATTATAAACAAATTTCAATTAAAAACGAAGAGTACAAAAAATATATTATCATTTAAAGAAATCAAGAATAACGAAAATTGTAAATTAACAATTTTCCCGGTAAACAAAAATTAAAAATTTTTTTTCTATTTAAGTTTTTTGGCTTCGACACTTCGAAACATGAGCTCTTAGAGAACACAAAGTTGTTAAAATTTTCTCACATTTTTGGCACTTGTGGATTATGCCACAATCGTATTTTACATGTGCTTTTAAACTCTTCTCTTGTTTAAAATTACTGCCACATTTGTGGCAACAAAACCTAATAGAAAATTTGCGACTATCATTTTTTCTATTAAGAGTGCAATTTTTTTCATGTAATGTTATGTGACGTAAAGAAGAAAAAGATCGTTTACAAAAGCGACAAAAAATAATTTTCCCCTCTTTCTCAACTTCTTGTAATGGATTATTTAGATATGTAATTTTTCTTATTTTTAGATGTGGTAATATTTTTCTATCCAATTGTTCATCTGTAACATAAAATAATTTTCATTAATTAAATTAATTAAATAATTTTCAATTATAATTAATGTATATAGTAGTGATGATTTTTTACATATAATACAAATAATATTTATTAGCAATATAAACAGGTGCAAAGTATACACAAAATCATAAAAATAATAACGAATTTATAATTTGAAAATAATATATTCTGTTTGTATACTGAAAAAAATTTCTGGCTACATCGAAGTATTTTCGGTATTTTTTAGAAATGAAATGAAATTTTATCGCTGGAATTCAATTATTTTAAATACAATTTTAATTTAATTCTAGGGAAAATAAAATTATTTTTAAACATTTTTTTTTTAAATTCTTCGAAAGAATTCAATAATATAAATAAATAGTACATTTTTTCATAGGAATTAAATTATTTTAAATACAATTTGAATAAAATTCTTCTTAAATATTCACTTTTTTTTTAATTTTGCAAAAATTTAATTATTTGTAGAAAAAATAAATTTTTTTGACTGCGATTTAATTATTTAAAAAAGTTTTAATAAAATTTGATTCAAGAATTCAATTATTTTAAATAATAATTGTAATACAATTCTGCAGTCAATTTTTAAATAATAAAAATCTTAGTAAAAAATTAAATTATTTTCATATTATAAATAATAAAATTTGTATCAGAATTTCACTTATTTTCAATTCAATTTTAATTAATTTCATCAAAAATTTCAATTATTTTTAAAAATCCTGTAAAAATTCTCCGAAAAAATTAAATTATTTTTAGAAATAATTGAATTTTTCACACGAGTTCAATTATTTAAAAAACTTTTAATAAAATCCAATTCAAGAATTCAATTATTTTTAAAAATAAAGAAATTTTCGCTCGAATTCAATTATTTTAAATACAATTTTAATTTGAATTCTAGGGAAAATAAAATTATTTTTAAACATTTTTTTTTTAATTTTTCGAACGAATTCAATAATATTAATAAATAGTACATTTTTTCACAAGAATTCAATTATTTTAAATAAATTCTTCACAAAAATTGACTTATTTTTTAATATTTTGCAAAAATTTAATTATTTTCAGAAAAAATCATTTGTTTTGGCTGGGATTCAATTATTTAAAAAAGTTTTAATAAAGTTCTATTCAAGAATTCAATTATTTTCAGAAATAATTAAATTTTTGATGCACTGAAAATCATTGAATTCTTGTAAAGTATTAATAAAAAAATTTGAAAATAATTAAATTCAATTTCAAGAATTTTATCAACATTTTTTTTCAATAATTTAAATTCTTTCGAGAAAATGTAATTAAAATTGTATTGAAAATAATTTTATTTTTGGCAAAATTTTTATTAAAATTCTTTAAAATAATTGAATGGTTTTGAAAGAATTTATTTCAATTTATTTTTGGAAATAAAGGAGTTTTTGAAAAATAATTTTTACTGAAAATTTTGAAAATAATTGAATTTAAAAAAAAAATTTCTGTTATGTTTTGAAAATAATTGAATTTTAAAAAGAATTTCTGTTAGGGGAACATAGTCTAGGTCGGCCACCTTTTTGACTTTTGTTTATAACTTTTTTTTAAAAATGAATTTGGACAATTGAAGTATATGGTTGGAAAGTCCTGTTTAATAGGAACATTTTTTCTGTACAAAGTAAATTGACAGGTTTAAAAATGAAAAAGTTATAAAGATTTAAAAAAAAAAAAATTTGTAGTCCAGGTTGGCCATTACAGTCAAGGTCGGCCATGTTTAAAATTCAAAGGGCATTAATCGTTAAAAAATAAAATAACATGTTTGGAGTTACGGAAAATTGATTCTTTATTGTTTACAGTTTGTAACTTAATGAAATAACAAAATAATAACAATAAACAATATAAAAAAATAAATATAAATAAAAAAAAATTTTGCACTAAAATATTAATAAAATTAAATAAAAATATTAATAAGATGATCAATTATATTATGAGTTATACAGAATTGCAGTTTTTGCAAATGAAGTAGCTCGTCCTCAACTTTGCGCATTTT